CACCAGGCATAACTTCTTTTTTTGTAATTTCCTAAAACCATAACAAAATGAGAGAAAATGATCCTAGTGACATTGCCCAATCAATGTTTTGTTTGGGATAAGTTATATGGTTAATAATTCTAATAAACACAGACAACTTAAATATGGATGTTATGAATGTGGTCAGTTAAACAAGGATTCACCCGGGCCCAAATTACGGCACAAAAGTAAGAAAAAAGACATTAAAAAAAAAATAAATTATTTTAAAAAGAGTTGTTTTAAGAAGACAAAATAAATAGGGTTTCACTTCCAAGCAAAGTCTGTCTCACATGGCTGGCAAAATCTGATTTTGACTTACTTGTCAATTTTTATCTAAAGCATTAATGATATTTATATCATAAATTTTTAAAAAATTTCCACTTTTCCGTACAGACTGTGGGAGGACCTGGCCAATATGGACTAATGATTTTACCACCCCTGGTCGAGTATTGGCTAACCAATTCTGAAATCACATGTATGTCAATGAATTTTGGACCAATGAGAGATGAAAAATGAACACTATACTTTGCCCTACTTTTTTGTCCAATGAGGATCCTTAAATTTGAAAATTTTGTCCAATGAGAATGCTTAATTTTGAAAATTCCGTATAGTCTGTTTCACATATGTCGTCACTAGCCTTTAATTTATCATTCATTTAACCCTTTCATCTATCTCCATAAATACTATACAAAAGTAAAACTGCCCATTAAAAAATAGGTCCAAAAATAAGTTTTGTTTTTAAAAATTATAAAAAATAATTTTAAAAAGTTTTTCCCTTTAAAAGCTGTTTTTAAAACATTTAATTTTTTTTCTTTGTAAACGTAAAAATACTATTTAAATACCCCAAAGACAATTTTAATTTAAACATATTCATTTAAGCTTAATTGTTTAACAAGTTAGTGCTCCTTATATTTATCACATCCGTGCCCTTTTTCCTGGAACTAACCAGTAATGTTGCCATATGAGCACACATGGTTGTGACCCCGAGTAGGTCTCGAACCGAGCATCCCTGGCCCTTAACCACAAAGCCACTACTCATTCTATGCTAAGCTATTGGTTAATTTATTTTTTTATTACTGAAACCCCTTCAGAAAGTATTGTCGCATGGTAAGAGTTAAATTAAAGATAAAATGAATAAGAAACATATTTTCACTGTTGCATATTTCATTCTTTACAAAGGCATTAAACTGTGTTTTAATTCACATTCATTCAATATCAATCACAGTAGCAAAGACCAAAAAGTAAAAGGAACAGTTGAAGATTAGTGTATAGATAACATGTCATATCAGCTTGTTTGAACACAATACTTATTCATATCATCTTATTTCGAGTCACATAGCATTCTCATAATATATAAAGTACAGAAAATTATTAATCAGATATAATAATTAACAAGGACATTGTAAAGACCTTCATGAAGTAACAAGCGCATACAAAGAATGACACCATGAAGTAACAAAAACATACAAAGAATGTAATCATGATGTAACAAGAATGCATAAAGAATGGCATTATGAAGTAACAAGAACATACAAAGAATGTAATCATTAAATAACAAGAACATACAAAGACTGTCATGAAGTAACAAGAGTATTGCTAAATACATCATTAGGTAACAAGAATATACAGTTTACTTACTGGGGTACTAGTACGTGGTTCTAAATCAGAATCTCCGATAAATACACTATCATCCGACTAATAAAAACACATTCAAAAGTTATGTATTGCTACATGTTACATACCAACCACATGTAAGAAATTTTAAGTGTGTAAAGCTATATCTCTGCTGCTTTCAGCTTACAAAACTTTTGTTTGAATTTTAAAAGACTAATAATTTCAAAATACCTGTATGAAAGAATAATGTTTGTATATTTTAAATTGCACATGCACAAAATCATTGCTAAATGGTTAAAACCGATCTTAAATTAGCAGCATAGTATTTTGTTCCAGAACATTTTATTCTGTTTGTATATAGATCTCAAATGTGTTAATAAAAAAGAAACATTTTATGTGACAACTGTTGCCAGAGCCGAAAATAAAATTATTATTATTGCTTATTGCCTTGGTAACTCAGTTTCCCTTTTCTCTGTCAAAAAAGAGGGAAGGGGCATTTATAAAAGGGAGAGCGTTTATTATCAGATGTGCATTTTTTGAGCTATTTCTCAGTTGGGTTTTACGTCAAAACAACACAATAGAGGTATTATGATTTTACCACTTTACCCGTGTAGGAAGACCTCAGGTGCTTCTCCGTGCATTATTTCAGACACAAGCCTAAATCCGAGTAGAAACACTGACATTCCGTAAGCTAGCTGGATAGCTTCCAAACATGAAAGAATCCAAAATACCTTGGGGAGGTGGATTTGAACCCAGAGATGAGCGTTTATTATATAATATACAGTACCTAATTGAGCCGCGTCACGACAAAACCAACATAATGGGTTTGCGACCAGCATGGATCCAGACCAGCCTGCGCATCTGCGCTGTCTGATCAGGATCCATGCTGTTCGCTTACCAGCTCTATAACGAGTAGAGAAACTGATAGCGAGCAGTATGGATCCTGATCAGACTGCGCGGATGCGCAGGCTGGTCTGGATCCGTGCTGGTCGCAAACGCATTATGTTGGTTTTGTCATGACGCGGCTCATTTTTATTATGTCATTACCTCAGTAATCTCTAAAGCAGTCCCACTAGCATCCAGATAATCACCATATGATTTTCCATTGATAGATGCTTTCCTGAACTCCATTATGTTCTGAAAGAAAAAAATTAAGGATAGAGAATATCCAGATATATCAACTGGAAAAACCTTTTTTTTTATGGGGCATTACTTTTTGTGGATAGGTCAATCCACTATTTTAAAATCCAACTTAATTTTTTTTTTGTCTGCTCAAGGTGTAAATATAAAAATAAGCTCCACACAGTCTTCTTTGATTACAATTAGGATTACAAAAACCTAATTGGTCAGTAAATATCTATTTACGTTAGGAAATACAGTAAAAATGAGAAGCAAGTTAGTCTCGACTTTTTTCTAAAGTTTTCGTAATATCTTCATGTATTTCAAATATATTTGTGTCACATGAAAATGTTGTATCAACATCATTATTTGCGAAAAATGCAAATACAGGGGCTTAAAATCACTCACATTAATGTCTGTATTTCTTAAATTGCTTTACATTAAATTTTTCAATCTAAATGATAAAAGGAAAAGTGGCAAGATACAGACCTGTGTAAGTGTCCCGGTTTTATCTGAGAAGATATATTCAATTTGACCGAGCTCTTCGTTCAATGCTGTTGTTCTCGCCTTGGCTGGGTCATCTTTCGCCTCGTAATACATCTTACTGTCCCAGTTAATCAATAAACTGTTCCCCATTCGAATAATCTCTACACTGAAAATAGTGAAAAAACAGTGTTACTTAGCAGATGTATGAAGGTTTGCTTTAATTTGATGCTAGCTTGAATTCAGGTGCATTTTTACATTAATGTATATCAGTTGATTTGTAATAATAAAAAGATATTTGTTGTGGTTTTTTTTTGGCCTTTTTTGTAAACAGTAAAAGACTGATTAAAGCACAATCATATTAAAGCATATTTTTACATCTTTTTCTTTTGTTGATACTCTGGGAATGACTAAAACTTAAATTTATCAACTTGTTTGAACAGTGTTCAACTAATCAACTGGTTTAAACAGTGTTCAATTTATTAACTGGTTTAAACAGTGTTTAATTACTAACCAGTTTGAACAGTGTTCAATTTATCGACTGGTTTGAACAGTGTTCAATTTATAAAATGGTTTGAACAGTGTTTAATTTATTAACTCATTTGAACAGTGTTCAATTTATCGGCCAGTTTGAACAGTGTTCAATTTATCAACCAATTTCAACATTGTTCAATCTCTTAACCAGTTTTAAACAGTGTTCATTTCATTAACTGGTTTCAACAGTGTTCAATTGACCAACCAGTTTGAACAGTGTTCAATTTATCAACAAGTTTGAACAGTGTTCAATTTATCAACCAATTTGAACAGTGTTCATTCTATCAACTGGTTTGAACAGTGTTCAATTTATCAACAGGTTCGAACAGTCATCAAATTACTGTTCAATTATTGAAAATTATTTTAAATGTCTCTGAAAAGTAAGAAACAGTTTCTATGAAATTGTAACTCTCTTGTGATGGTTTTCATGTAGTTATTTTACTTTCAATTTACAATAATCTATTAGTAGTTCAAAATTTGTTTTTATGCTAATTTTAATACTTATGCTCATATCTCGGCAGTAAGTCAACCTAACCAGAATTCCTGGATAACTAACTGGTAATTATGAATTTTTCCACAAGTGACAGACAATTTATCCAACATGATTTCTGAGAGGGCTGTGAAAGACAAATACCATTAGAATTAATGTCCGAGATTAATTGTAATGAAGAAAGATTTCAATACTATAATTGAACAGCCATGGTCAGACTGCGTAAATGAGCAAGCTAGTCATTCTATACACTAGTAGCTTAAGCGCTTTAACATGCTTAAAACGGTTAAACAAAACAACTTACCTAACATATAAAGAAATAGGCACTACTGTGTTCAGGACAATGATGTAGGAGAAGAAAGTCAGTAGAGACAGAGTTGTTGCCCCTTCCGTCACTGAACCATCTTTTGTTCCTAATATAGTTCCAGGTATGTAGCTCTCCCAGGGGAGGTAAATCTGGAATTTATCTCCGGCTATTTGGCTCTCCCAGATACCACACGCAATTGTACAGATTAGGCACATACTTAACAGGAAAATAAAAATCTGAAAAAAAATATATTATTGTTAAAACTTTAACATACCAATATTTTTTTTATATAAACTTTCTTCATATACATGTATAAGTATTTGTTTCTTTTAAAAGATGTTTATGTTTGTAGAGTGAATGATAAAAAGCATTAATTCTTAAAACAGATTTGATTCATAGTTTGAGGAAATGACCTTAATACCTAAAACCATCATCAGGCTACATGAAAGATCATGGTTTCGTAGGTGCGCTCATTTTCAGAATCAAAATAAATCTTGACCAAGCTACGCCCAGCCAAGTGTTAAAGGAACTCCACTGAGGTTAAAAAAGCCAAGGATATAAATTTGAATATTTTTACATAGATCAGCTGGGACACTTAAGACAGAAAGTCTCTAAATAAAATAGTTGAGTGAAAAACATTGCAATGCTTTTCCATTTTGGAACTGGAAAAATGGAGTGAGCCAATGATCTGATTTTTGGCACACAAGTTATTGATCTAGAAAAACATCAAATGGAATATTTATCTCGAAAATTAATTTCCAGTCCCGTCATGTCAAAAAACCTCAGGTGAGTTCCTTTAAGCTATGCTCACATACAGATAAAGGTAAGCCTTTTTGTTCTACTAAAATTTCAAGCACATGATTTATTCAATACTTACACCTATAATTAAATCATTCATAAGTCTATCAATGTTTGTTCGTTTAAACACAGTTTTCCCACAATTCATCATAAGCTTGGACTCATGACCCGAGAACACGACTAGCCCATAGCACCACTGAGTATTACGTAGAACACAACCTCGTAGTAGAATTTTATCATTATCGAGAGAGTATGTTTGCCCTTGCCAATTTAGTTTTCCTTCAAATTTAGGTAGTCGGTTGTTTGGTGCTTCACATATTATCTCCCCTATAAGAAAAGAAAAAGACTATGCTATAATAATTTGGATGTTTACAATACCTTTTTACGACTTCTTAGAGGCCTTTGTTTAGTTAATACATAATTTTTTATTAATATACAGAAGTTTTTCATACACCTCTTAAAAAATCTTTGAATACAAAATTATATCTTTAACTTTATTTTAATATCACAAAGGTTTTTAATATTGGTATCCTATTACAGTTTCCTCAACTTTCCTGTTTCTTATTGCCGATAAAGCTGAATCACCTTTTGTTGCATTTTTGTTTCGGCAATTTGTACAGTTGAAGTATATTTAGTAGTTTGTATGGAAGTCAAAACACCACTTTGTTTACATTTTGATACCTATATGAAACATAATTTCACATTTAGCACGTTTTTCTCTGTTTTCACTGTTCCTGAGGCATTTCTGAGGCATAATGGGCCTTTAACCAAAATGTGACAACAACAACTGGGTGAATAGCTCTCCATATTCTTCCAAAAGTCATGCTAAAAACTGGCCAGTCTAACAGTAAGTCTGACCAGACTCTATACTGTTGGTCTGACAGTCATTGCAATATAATACCCCACCTCATCAAAAAATGTCTTACCATCAAACTCAGAAAATTTTACAATATCATTGTCTATTTCCGCAGTTTCTGGTAAAGCTTGACGCACTTTTAAATTTGTTTCCCTACAAATAAATGAATAATTATAAACCACATATTTATATATAAAATAATCTCTAATAGTAAACACCAAAATTCTTAATTTCATGCTGAATAAAGTAAATTTCGAAACAAATGATCTGCAACTCATATCCATTTTTTGACAAGGTTCATAACTCTTAAAACTATATTTCAAAAAATATCTCCACTTTAAACATAGAATATTACTTAGATATTGTGTTTTTTTAAACCTTTATCTTCTTAAATACTAAAATAATTTAGTTGCAGAAGTAATATAGTTGTTCCTTGGCTCTTAAGATTTTTCTAAAACTTCTTGTAAAAAAACTTAAATTATTCCACTGTTTCAAAATATGCAACAGTTTCATCAACCACTTACCCATCTAACTCAGCTGTTTCAATATAACATAAACTGTTTGGTTCACTGGTTGACAGTAGCAGTAAATCGGCCTGGAAGATAGAGAAATTAGCTAATTATTAACTGCGGAATTTTTTTTTTGTCTTTAATTCCATGTCTATTACTGATAACACACGGATGATAAAAAGCTATAGATGTTACTGGGGCTGTTATTGAATATGGCAATATCATTATGTCATCGTTATTCATGATCTGATACAATATCGAAAATTTTCAAATATCGATACAAGCTAGAAATTTATTTCTGTTAGTGAATATACCTCTCTATTTTGCCTAATAAGAAAAGTCACTTTTTTCTAGTTTTCTTGGCTAACTTGAACTTTAAACTCCATTTTCAAATGTCATTGACAGAAAAAAAAACTTTCTGTCAGTTTGTAATAATTGTAATGTCTTATACAGGCATGCATAACACTATGATCCAAAATATAACATATATTTAAATGTTTTTCATTGTATCTACTGTCAAAGTTAATTTATTGTCGATATGTTCCATTGGCTATACAAGTGCTAAAATCTAATATTAAAGTCCATTTTAATTATGCAAATTTACCACTATATTAAGTCATGTACCATACAACTATGTAAAAAATTCTTATGGGCAAATATAGGTAAATAATAACAAACACATATAACAACTTCAACACTTCTTACATGAGGTTCGAAATCCAAAACTGCATATAAGACCCGCGACTTTTAAAATATCGGTCTAGCAGGTGAGTACATGTGACAAACTTACACTTGAAAATAAAATATTCACAATGATAAGGAAATTAAAACTAAAATAATTCCTTGTCACAGAGACCCTCTAAGACTTGGAAAAACTTAAGTGGACCCCCCCCCCACACCCCCAATAAAAAATGAATCAACATACAGCAACAAATTGATTGTTTTCCATTTTAATGATGTCACCAACAACAACTTTCTGCCATACTTCTTCCATCATTTTTCCGTCTCGTAAAACTGTTGCTTTCCTATTGTTAACCTGATCATCACTTCTATGTCGTCTCTATAGAAACAGAAAAAACAAGGTCATTATAAAGGTCAACAAGCTAACAAGGTCATTATAAAGGTCAAGAAATAACAAGGTCATTATGAAGGTCAATAAGCTAGAGACAATAATAGTGAGCTTTATTGTTTTATTAAATCAACATTAATCATGTAGATCTATATTTCTGCTTTTAAGGCCAACTAGCTTATTATATAATAAACATTTGCTGTGAGCTTTATTGTCTTGTAAATATATCTGGTTTAATATTCAAATCAATTCCAAATTCAAAGAGATTCTAACATTAAAATTCTAAAATAAACAGCAAACTGTAGCAGATCTTATCAGAATGCTCTTTACTGGTTTTATTGTAAGAAAACTGAAAAGTCCTATCATAAGTGCTATTATATATTACAAGTCCTAAATTGCAAGTGTTATTAGGACTTCTTATCAGAAAGTCCTTATTATAAGTGTTATCTAAAATAAGTGTTATCCACAACTAATCATAAGTGTTATTAGAACTTCTAATTAAATGTCCTATCATAATTGTGTTTAAAGGTTTTAAGCAATATTAGGACTTCATATTGTTGTTATTGCAAGTCCTATCATAACTGTTCTGTAAGACTTCTTAATAAAAGTCCCCAATCATAAGTATTATTTAGAGTCCACATTTTATTATTACAACAGTTAACATCTTAACTTCAATTTCAAATAGAACAATAAGACTTTTGACTGTTGAAGAGAAGTTTATAACGCTTTGCTTAGGGTTCAACTCATTACTGCCCTTTAGCAAATCTCAAAAGTTAACCTGCAATGCTGTTTGGCCATACATTACTAATAAAACTCAACAAAAGTTTTTCAACAAAAATAATCATACTGTTAATCAGAAAGAAGACAGTATACATCTAACAGTCATGCAATACAGGATGTATTAAATTTGTATGAAAATTGGCAGAAATTAAAAAAATATAGTCTTAGTACATATTACACTAATTCTTATTATGTAAAAAAGTTATCATCTTTTAGAAAACCTATAGAGTTATAGATAAATCCTCTCTTACAATATCTCTTGAGTTATAGATTAATCATCTTTTTACAATATCTAGAGTAATAGATTAATCAATATCTTTAATATGGAGGGCGATCGTTGCCAAAATTCCAGACATGTAATGTGTTCCTTTTTAAAATGACTTTTGAAAATGCGAACATGTATGTCTAGCATTTTTATTGCATTCGTGCACAGCAAATGATATGCCTCTTAATCCAATCTTTTAATTGAAGGCACCCGCTTTTAAATAACAAGTTTGCATGTAAATCTTAACAACTGACCTAACATGGAGAACAACAACACATTTACAAGGTCGTATCTACCATTGCATATAATACATAAGCATGTTTACACACTTGTAGATATATATCTGTACCTGAAAAACACAAATGAAATGTAAAACTCGAATGCAGAAAATATAATTTAATAAAACGTGTTCCAGTCGTAGAACTACAACAGTACGTTTACACAGTTACATGTTTAAAATGACAAAAGTAGATTCACAAAGTTAGACGATTCTAAGTCATGCATGACGCCCCGCCTCTCTCTGAGTATTTGCGATCTTCTATCACGGAAATGTACAGACAGGTATAATACCCGTCGCCTCTCTCCTATTTCTCAATAAAGTGAGGGAAAACACGGCGTCCATTCTAACTTTTTTTTATTTCTATAAAAAGTCCAATATTATTGGTATCAAATGAAAGATTACTCCATAAGCTTTCTATGAGTGCCGCGGAAATAAAAATGAATTAAATAGATGTATGGAATTTTTAGGTTTTTTTACTCTGAAAATAACACTCTCGAATTGGTAAGAAAAACACGGCGTTCCCTCCAAACTTTTTTTTAAGTTCGTAATATATTTTGATAATTTTGGATTGAAATAAAAGTGTGCTTCCTACGATTTATGATATATAATTATATAATGCCTAAAAATAAAAAAGAATTAAATCAAACTGAATTAACTTTCGTTAAAAAGTTTATCATGTTACTTTCTGTAAAATAGAGAAAATAAGAATCCCTAAAGAACGCTCAAAAAGACAAAATTGAGAATGTTGCAGGCCCGGTTTGATAGAGCCTGCTCATGGACGGTAATGGAAAGAGCAAGTTATCGTCCGCGCCCCCTAGCACCGGCTTAAGAAAAATTCAACATGAACTGGTACAATTTTGAAACATCCGCAGATGTGTTAATATGGCGATTATCATGGAACCTTCAATGTGACACGTAAGTGCCATTCCATGAAAAACGGCATATGATCCCAAAATTAAAAAAAAACACTCTCAGAAATTCAGTAAGAAAAACATGGCGCCCCCTACTTACTTTTTTTATTTCTTGGTCAATTTTGATAATAAACAAGATCATCAAGGAAAGGCGGCGTTGATAATTTTAGACTCAAGTAAAAGAATCCTTTATGAACTTTCTAGTGATGCCTTAAAAATGAAAATTAATTACGTAGAAGTATTAAAAATTTTGTTTCAAACTTATTGTTGTTTATTTTTTCTCTCTTTAAACCGCACTCATATACAATGTATTCAGAAAAAATCTCGTCGTTTCCTTTAGATACTTTATTAAAAAAAACAAAACAAAATGAATATTAAATAAAAGTTAAGAACATAAGCTTTGGACTAGTATATTAACAATCTGGAAACAAAGTGATCCCTCGGATGCATTACGGTTTGATTGAGTCTGCACATGAGGGATAATGAACAAGTGCAACGTTCCTCACGCCCCTAGCACCGGCTTGAACGGTACTCAATTCTCAACACTTAATAGCGCTGGCATCAATGATCCCGAAGGACCAGAAAAAACACTGAAGTGAAGTACGGGGCAACTTTTTACAACTGCCACACGGCACTTGGCACCTGCTGTTGTGAAGTTTTAAAATCTGAAAACAAAATGATCCCTCGGAAGCATTAATCACTACAAAATTACATAAGAATTGCAGACTCGGTTTGATTGAGTCTGTACATGAGGGATAATGAACAAGTGCAAAAAGTTTTTATTCATACTGAAAATACCTTATTAAAGATTGTACATATGTGCTACGGATAAGTATTTTCTTGATTTCGGAAAGGAAATCTCGGTGGCCGCTTTAAAATTCTATTTTTGCAAATACTTGCATAGTTTTTGTTGAAAGTGAAATTTGTGCCAATATATTTTTCAATGATACCAATAAGAATATTGGATGGTTTTTACATTATCAATAAAATTACTCCCTTGAAGTTGGTCATTGTTTCCCCTAAAAATTTCCCAATCGCCAATGTTTCTCAGGAATATATGATAAAGAAGATCAACAAGGAAAGGCGGCGCTCAATGAACGCAACCCCACATGACCCAGCAACAAGAACAAGTGGCAAGAAGCCCTGGCGGACCCCAAACAAAACACAGGACAGGGCACTAGGCATAGCACGGACTGGCTAATCACTAAAATGATAAATAATTTGTAACTGATAAGAACACGATGTTAAATAATAAGATAATGCACAAGTTATCTTCATCATAAATGGTAAAATCAGCAATTTTCAAGTGATGTTGCTAGTGACAAAACTTTTGTAACAAATGTAACATGTATATGTTATGAAAAATGCCGTATGTTGTCCTTCAGTTTTATTTAAAAATATGGGAGAGGCGCCGTTTTATACCTGTCCGCAATAGAAGGTCGTAAATACTCCGAGAGGGGCGGGGCGTTATGCTTGACTTAAAATCGTTTAACTTTGTGAATCTCTTTTTGTCATTTTAAACATGTTACTGTGTTAACGTACTCTTGTAGTTATACAACTGGTAACACGTTTTCTTAAACTCTATTTTCCGTATTCGAGTTTTACATTTCATTTGTATATTACAGATCTATAAGTGTGCAAACATGCGTATGTATTGCATGCAATGGAAGATACGAACTTGTAAATTTGTTGTCGTTTTAGATGTTAGGTCAGTTGTTACGATATATATGTAAACTTGTCATATAAAGGCGGTAACCTTCAATTAAAAGATTGAATTAAGAGGCATACAATAAAAATGGTAGGCATATAAGTTTGCATTTTCAAAAGTCATTTTAAAAAGGAACACTTTACATGTCTGGAATTTTGGCAACGAACACCCTCCATACTTTAATAATATGATTTTCCTACATGTTGTTTTTAAAATATAAATGATTTTTTTTACATATGACAGTCAGATTGACTATAATTGTTTAAACAATCAGAATCACTAATCAATATTTTGCTAGTTACTATTAAATAATATTTTGCTTGTAACTACCAAATTTGAATCAATATTTTTTCTAGTAACTACTTTTTCAAAACTTTACTAGTAACTTATAATCGATTTTTTTGGAAAGTAATTAATCAGGTAACTTAATTTCTGGAAAGTATTATGCTAATTTCTAGAAAGTAACCGGCAATTTCAAGCAAGTTACTGCTAACTTCTGGTGCGTTACTGTCAATTTCTAGGGGAAAAATCATAAAACAGTGTATTATTTGAAGATGGAATAATTATTAAACCTGGAATACACTTAAAAATCAATTCCTGAGATTTAGTTCATCTAAGGGGGGGTTAGTTGTTGCGGCACATCAACTTATGGGGGTTAGTTCATCTAATGTGGGGTTAGTTGCTGCCTGGCATTAACTATGGGGTCTTAGTCCATGTAAAGGGGGGTTAGTTGATGCGCCGCATCAACTAACCCTTATATAGTCTAAATGGGGTTAGTTGATGCGCCGCATCGACTAACCCTGTATTCAGTCTAAAGGGGGTTAGTTGATGCGGCGCATCAACTAACCCTATTTTCTATGTTTCAGTGTTAGTTGATGCGGCGCATCAACTAACCCCATGGTGCTTTATAAAACAGCACTGAAGAGTATTAACTGGTTAGAAATGGCCTTTTTAACAAGGATTTTGGGAAGATGGATCAACTTTACCTGATGCACTGGAATGAACACCTGTATGATCTTACCACTTTTCCAAAAACTGACCTCTGTCCATTTTCATAGGTTCATTTCAAGTGGTAGGTCATAGTATTTATGATTTTTGCACTGGTAAGTTTGTGTTGAATCAGTATATAATGTTTATGTCATATTTTTTTCTCCTTTTCTAATAGGTGCAATATGAGGAAATATTTTCATTCCACTAATTGTAGTATGTAGGTAAATTGACAACAACAACACAACTAGCAAGTGAAGGCACATGTTTATTGACTGAACAAAAGTAGACATCAAGCATGCTGCAATCGAATTAACGATATACCATGTTTTACTTTGCTGTGAAAGAGTTTTTTTCGAAATAAATTTTTTGTGTATTTTTCAGTGTCTGTACAGTTGTAATAATCATTGAAGGATATAAATAAATTTGTAATGTAATAATAATGTAATCAACTGACATATAATTTTCTCATAACCTTCGTTTTTGTTATATTATTTTTATGTCTGATGAAATAAAGGTATTTGAATTTTTGAAAAGTGTTTGTTCCTAACAAAAGATAGCTTATGTAACTGCAAGACAGCATGATTTCTACGTTTTGCCTAAAACGTATTTTGTATCAACCTTACCAAAGTTTGATAATTATATATGATGGAATACCAAATTCGATTGCATATTTCTGTATTCAGAATACGGGCGGCCCACGAAAAACCCCCTGCTTTGTTTTATCATAAGACAGGAGGAAACGTGTGTCCGTAGCCTAGTCAATGTGAAAACAATGAAATGCCCCGACTATTCCACAGAAATACTGAACAACGGACAGTTCAGACATGGTTTTCTATAAATAAATTAGTAGAAACACAGTGGATATAATTAGATGTAATTATAACATATACCTCTAGTTAAAGACTCCCCGGGGGGAAATAATGCACTGAATTCAACATTGGGTCACATGATAAGACAAGCTTATTCGTACAATTGAGTTATTAGCTGAAATATCTAGGCTTAAATGTTTATGACTGCTAACAAATATATCCAGTGTATGCCAAAACAATTACCACAAGAGCCAAAACTTGGCATCTGTGTTACTTGTCATTTATTATTGTATCCCATTTATTTCAGGAAAAATAATGATTGAAACTTTACATTATACGGACATAATGCTCATAAATAAAGGATAATGAATAATACGTTATTGTTAGGGAAAGTGTTAAAACGTTATCAGAATTTATTTCGTGCTTTCCAGTGTTTTATTATAATATAACAGATGTTCATATTCTGATAAAACACCATTGAAATTTATAAAATATAAATTTCACTGTAGCATTAATATTTCTGAATGCAGATGAAAAGAAAATCATAACTGAATGGAATAACTGGCATAAATAAAAGCCGTCATGCCTAAAGTGTGCTTCTTTAAGAAAACATAAGTCGATGTCATCATACATCAAGTTAAAAATCTTACAAAACTTGAGAAAATTAACAGACCTATATTTTAAAATTGATAATGTGACGTCATTATTTGAAATCAGTAAAAATATACTTAAAATCACTTAAAAAGCATGAAATAAAAAAGAAATTTATTTGTGTTACATATAAGATTGAAATATATTTTATTTGTGAACACCAGCTATTATATTTTCACTGGTGGGTAAGCCACTCGTGAAAATATTCCATCTGGTGTTCACTCAGTGAAATTATATTTCAATCTTGCATGCAAAACAAATATCCTCTATGTAAATAGTCACATGATAATTGCCAATGTTTTAACACTTCCAATCTTCGAAAACATGAGGATCGTATGCTAACAAAGCATTGAATTAAATTTTTGTGAATGATTGAAAAATACTGCTTGAATGAGCGAGACCATAATTTAATGGAAGTTACACAGCTAATTAATCCTTACAATTCATAATTACATACAGACATCATCAAATTTTTCTCTCTTCTAAATAAGGAAAACATACATTTTGCATTCTCCACAGTTTTGTTACATATTCATTACACAGTGATACTTAAAATTTAAAGTTATCTGCATTCTGGTAAATTATATCAAATTTTTTTTACGCCATGAAGAAAAAGATAACTGAAAATATTTTCCTTTACAATTTGCATATGCATACAAAGAATTTATGTGAAGAAAAAGATAAATGATTGTAAAACATACAAAAAAAATTCTGATGAAATAAATATGCATATAGTTAATTTAGTTTAGATAACCTCATATCCTTTCATGTAATCTAATTAAATGCAATCCCAAACAAATTGTTGAAAACATCTGTTATTGGTAATTGATGTAAGTAAAATTAATATGCTTTCTGGTAATGTAGTGTGTGAAGATATTGCTCACTATTCAACACATTATAACACAAGAAATCAGAAAATTTTCCTTTACATAGCAATCACGTACAATGCAATTTTAGGGATATTGATCTCTTTTCTTGTAAATTAATGTGTATAAACATTGATGTAACAATAAAAAAACACATTCAAAAACAAGGAAAGAGGGAAATTGTCCCTTACAAATTGCAATCACATTTATAAAGAAAACATCTTGTAGGTAATTAATCTTAGGGATTTTGATCTTATTTCTTGTAAGTAAATGAATATAAACATTGTTGGAAAGAAAAAACACATTCAAATACAAGAAAATAGCAAAATTGTCCCTTACAAATTGCAATCACATTTATAAAGAAAACATCTTGTTGGTAATTAATCTTAGGGATATTCATCTGCTTTCTTGTAAGTTAATGAATATAAACATTGTTGTAATGAAATACACATTCAAATACAAAAAAATATGAAAATTGTCCCTTACAAATTGCAATCACATTTATAAAGAAAACATCTTTTAGGTAATTAGTCTTAGGGATATTGATCTGCTTTCTTGTAAGTTAATGTGAATTAACATTGTTGTAATGAAATACACATTCAAATACAAGAAAATAGGAAAATTGTCCCTTACAAATTGCAATCTCATTTATAGATGAAACATCTTGTAGGTAATCATTCATAGGGATATTGATCTGCTTTCTTGTAAGTTAATGTGAATTAACATTGTTGTAATGAAATACACATTCAAAAACAAGAAAATAGGAAAATTGTCCCTTACAAATTGCAATCACATTTATAAAGAAAACATCTTGTAGGTAATTAGTCTTAGGGATATTGATCTGCTTTCTTGTAAGTTAATGAGTATGAACATTGTTGTAATGAAATACACACTCAAAAACAAGAAAATAGGAAAATTGTCCCTTACAAATTGCAATCACATTTATAAAGAAAACATCTTGTAGGTAATTAGTCTTAGGGATATTGATCTGCTTTCTTGTAAGTTAATGTGAATAAACATTGTTGTAATGAAATACACACTCAAAAACAAGAAAATAGGAAAATTGTCCCTTACAAATTGCAATCACATTTATAAAGAAAACATCTTTTAGGTAATTAGTCTTAGGGATATTGATCTGCTTTCTTGTAAGTTAATGTGAATTAACATTGTTGTAATGAAATACACATTCAAATACAAGAAAATAGGAAAATTGTCCCTTACAAATTGCAATCTCATTTATAGATGAAACATCTTGTAGGTAATCATTCATAGGGATATTGATCTGCTTTCTTGTAAGTTAATGTGAATTAACATTGTTGTAATGAAATACACATTCAAAAACAAGAAAATAGGAAAATTGTCCCTTACAAATTGCAATCTCATTTATAAAGAAAACATCTTTTAGGTAATTAGTCTTAGGGATATTGATCTGCTTTCTTGTAAGTTAATGAATATAAACATTGTTGTAATGAAATACACATTCAAATACAAAAAAATACGAAAATTGTCCCTTACAAATTGCAATCACATTTATAAAGAAAACATCTTTTAGGTAATTAGTCTTAGGGATATTGATCTGCTTTCTTGTAAGTTAATGTGAATTAACATTGTTGTAATGAAATACACATTCAAAAACAAGAAAATAGGAAAATTGTCCCTTACAAATTGCAATCACATTTTCAAAGAAAACATCTTGTTGTTAATTATTCTTAGGGATATTGATCTGCTTTCTTGTAAGTTAATGAGTATGAACATTGTTGTAATGAAATACACACTCAAAAACAAGAAAATAGGAAAATTGTCCCTTACAAATTGCAATCACATTTATAAAGAAAACATCTTGTAGGTAATTAGTATTAGGGATATTGATCTGCTTTCTTGTAAGTTAATGAGTATGAACATTGTTGTAATGAAATACACACTCAAAAACAAGAAAATAGGAAAATTGTCCCTTACAAATTGCAATCACATTTATAAAGAAAACATCTTGTAAGTAATTAGTCTTAGGGATATTGATCTGCTTTCTTGTAAGTTAATGTGAATAAACATTCTTGTAATGAAATGCACACTCAAAAACAAGAAAATAGGAAAATTGTCCCTTACAAATTGCAATCACATTTATAAAGAAAACATCTTGTAGGTAATTAGTCTTAGGGATATTGATCTGCTTTCTTGTAAGTTAATGTGAATAAACATTGTTGTAATGAAATACACACTCAAAAACAAGAAAATAGGAAAATTGTCCCTTACAAATTGCAATCACATTTATAAAGAAAACATCTTGTAAGTAATTAGTCTTAGGGATATTGATCTGCTTTATTGTAAGTTAATGTGAATAAACATTCTTGTAATGAAATACACACTCAACAACAAGAAAATAGGAAAATTGTCCCTTACAAATTGCAATCACATTCATAAAGAAAACATCTTTTAGGTAATTAGTCTTAGGGATATTCATCTGCTTTCTTGTAAGTTAATGTGAATTAACATTGTTGTAATGAAATGCACACTCAAAAACAAGAAAATAGGAAAATTGTCCCTTACAAATTGCAATCACATTTATAAAGAAAACATCTTGTAGGTAATTAGTCTTAGGGATATTGATCTGCTTTCTTGTAAGTTTAGGTGTATAATCATTGTTGTAATGAAATACACCCTCAAAAACAAGAAAATAGGAAAATTGTCCCTTACAAATTGCAATCACATTTATAAAGAAAACATCTTTCAGGTAATTAGTCTTAGGGATATTGATCTGCTTTCTTGTAAGTTAATGTGAATAAACTTTGCTGTAATGAAATACACCCTCAAAAACAAGAAAATAGGAAAATTGTCCCTTACAAATTGCAATCACATTTATAAAGAAAACATCTTTCAGGTAATTAGTCTTAGGGATATTGATCTGATTTCTTGTAAGTTAATGAATATAAACATTAATGTAATGAAATACACACTAAAAACAAGAAAATAGGAAAATTGTCCCTTACAAATTGCAATCACATTTATAAAGAAAACATCTTTCAGGTAATTAGTCTTAGGGATATTGATCTGCTTTCTTGTAAGTTAATGAGTATAAACATTGTTGTAATGAAATACACATTCAAATACAAGAAAATAGGAAAATTGTCCCTTACAAATTGCAATCACATTTTCAAAGAAAACATCTTGTAGTTAATTAGTCTTAGGGATATTGATCTGATTTCTTGTAAGTTAATGAATATAAACATTAATGTAATGAAATACACACTAAAAAACAAGAAAATAGGAAAATTGTCCCTTACAAATTGCAATCACATTTATAAAGAAAACATCTTGTAGTTAATTAATTTTATGGATATTAATCTGCTTTCTTCTAAGTTAATGAGTATAAACATTGTTGTAATGAAATACACATTCAAATACAAGAAAATAGGAAAATTGTCCCTTACAAATTGCAATCACATTTTCAAAGAAAACATCTTGTAGTTAATTAATCTTAGGGATATTGATCTGCTTTCTTGTAAGTTAATGTGAATAAACATTGTTGTAATTAAATACACACTCAAAAACAAGAAAATAGGAAAATTGTCCCTTACAAATTGCATTCACATTTATAAAGAAAACATCTTGTAGTTAATTAGTCTTAGGGATATTGATCTGCTTTCTTGTAAGATAATGTGAATAAACATTGTTGTAATGAAATACACAATCAAATACAAGAAAATAGGAAAATTGTCCCTTACAAATTGCCTTCACATTTATAAAGAAAACATCTTTTAGGTAATTAATCTTAGGGATATTGATCTGCTTTCTTGTAAGTTAATGTGAATTAACATTGTTGTAATGAAATGCACACTCAAAAACAAGAAAACAGGAAAATTGTCCCTTACAAATTGCAATCACATTTATAAAGAAAACATCTTGTAGTTAATTAATCTTAGGGATATTGATCTTATTTCTTGTAAGTTAATGTGTATAAACATTGCTGTAATGAAATACACATTCAAATGCAAGAAAACAGGAAAATTGTCCCTTACAAATTGCAATCACACTTATAAAGAAAACATCTTCTATGTAATTAGTCTTAATGATATTGAACTCTTTTCTTGTAAGTTAATGTGAATAAACATTGTTGTAATTAAATACACACTCAAAAACAAGAAAATAGGAAAATTGTCCCTTACAAATTGCATTCACATTTATAATGAAAACATCTTGTAGGTAATTAATCTTAGGGATATTGATCTATTTTCTTGTAAGTTAATGTGAATAAACATTGTTGTAATGAAATACACATTCAAATACAAGACAAGAACCGATTGGTGCTTCCCGGAAAGGTTTTGGTCATAGGCAAGTATAAAGAAATCAACGAAGGGCAAAATTAGGGAAGGCAGTTTTTTTTTTTTTTTTGAAATGCACTTCTATCTATAAAGTTTCGTGATGATATCTTTTTTAGTTTCAGATTTATGTCCTGGGTAAAAATGATTTAACTGTAAAAATGCTTTAAGGGCAATAACTCTAAAATTAGATAAGGCTGTGTTTATGTTCTTAAACATTGCAGTTCTATCCAATGAGATCTATCTACCTAAAAAGTTTCATGTTGAAATCTCTTATAATTTAAAATGTCACAATGATCAAAACTCCAGACAGAATTATGGTTCTTTAACAGTGCACTTCTACTCAATGAGATCTATCTACATACAAAGTTTCTTGTTGATACCTTTTATAGTTTTAGAGTTATGTCCCGGACACCTTCTCAATGAGATCTATCTACCTACAAAGTTTCATGTTGATACCTCTTGTTGTTTCAAAGTTATATCCCTGACAAGAAAAGCGGGAGGATGCAAGTAAAAAGCTGCAATTATATGCTCACCATTCCGACACCATTAAAACAGGACAATTTACAATAAACAAGCAATTATCATAGTATTGCAAGCAATACATAAGTCAACTACAGGTTAGAACCCCAACCACATTCTGAAGGGCCATTGGCCATTCACTAATATTTAAATTTTTCTCTCTATTTTAAGTAAATTTGTTGGAAAAGTTCTCTAAAAGTGATCACAGGAAACAGCTTGTATGAACAGACATACGGACTGAAGGACACTCTAAAGTTAATATTTGAAACATCCCTGTTGCCAAAATATAACATTATTAAAAGCAAAATTTAAAAAGGAGATGACTCTTGAAATAAAGATGCAATTTCACTAAAATTTCCAGCTCTTTTTGAGTTATCACAAATATTGTTATATTTGCCATATTTTCAGTCTATTTGTTACCATAGCAACCAGAATTTTCAACATAGGAAGAAAAGAAAAAGATGTGCATAACCTCTAGACTGCCATCTACCCATATCTCAAATTTCATAAAAATATTTCCAGTACTTTTTGCGTTATCACTGGATCCAGTTTATGTGTAAAATTTGCCATAGTTTCAGTCTATTTGTTGCCAGAATGTTCAACATAGGAAGAAAAGAAAATGACGTGCATAACCTCTATACTGCCATCTATCCATATATCAAGTTTCATAAAAATGTTTCCAGTACTGAGTTATCGCGGGATCGAGTTTAGTGGACGGACGGACAGAAGGTTAAACTAAAGTCCCCTCCGGTAAACCAGTAGGGGTCTAAAATCAGGAACAATTTCAGATACAAATTGCAATCACATTTAAGAAGAAAACATCTTGTAGGTGATTAATTTTAGGGATATTGATCTGCATTCTTGTAACTTAATGTGTTTAAACATTGTTGTAGTGATAAACACATTCAATTACAAGAAAATAGGACAATTGTCCCTTACAAATTGCAATCACATTTATAAAGAAAACATCTTGTAGGTAATTAATCTTAGAAATATTGATCTCTTTTATTGTAAGTTAATGTGTATAAACGTTGTTTTAAGGAAATACACAATTCAATACAAGACCAGAAATGTCAAGCGACACATATGCCCTCCTTTCTTGCCATAGCCTCACATTATTGGTATAGAAACTTGCCATAAATGAGTACAGGGAATTGTTCAATAATGGAAAAAAGAAAAATAATGAAGACTTTGTGATGAATACTTTTCAAGATTATGAGACATTTTAGGACCTTGTGACCTGTGAACTAGTGACCCAACATCATTTGGGGTCATCTAATAGTTATGACCAATCAATATTTATAAATATGAAGACTTTGTGATAAAAAAAGTTTCAAGATTATGAGCTGAAACCATATTATCATTCAAGAACCCAATGACTTTAACCTGGTGAACCCATATATATATTTGTCATCCAATACTTATGACTAATCAATATGTGAAATATACAGACTTTGTGATAAATATTTTTCAACTATTCTGACATTTAGGGCCTCTGTGACCTTGACATTTTACCTACTGACCCCAAATTCTATTGGGGTCATAGACTAGTTATCAGCCTACGTGACCATGACCTAGTTCACCCAAAATCTATATGGGTCAGCTACTATTTATGACCAATCACTATATGAAATATGAAGACATTGTGATATAAAGTAATCAAGTAAAAAAGAATCATATTACCATTCAAGGCCCCTTTGACCTAGTGACACCAAAATTATTAGGGGTCATCTACTAGTGATGACCAATCTATAAGTGAAAGACTTTGCGATGAATACAATTCAAGTTTACCTAAGATAATCAGCGGAAACCATTCCAACATTTAAGGTCCTTTTAACCTGGTGACACCAAAATTAACAGGGGTCATCTACTAGTTATGACTAATCACCATGTGAAATATGATGACTTTGTGATGAGTACTTTTCAAGATAATCAGAGGAAACCATTTTGCCATTTAAGGCCCTTGTGACCTTGACCTTTGACCCCAAAATCAATAGGGGTCATCTACTAGATATGACAAATCAATGTGTGAAATATGAAGACTATGATAATTAATTTTCAAGATAAACAGTGTAAACCATGTGGTCTATCGACGGACAGACATTAGCAAAACAATATACCGGCTAGAGTTATAAATCTTGTATTTTGTAACACTCCTCGTGATTTTGTCACTGTAGACAATGAGAAAAAATGGTGTTAAACTGCCAATAAACAACTGGTTAGGGACTACTTGTATATGCTGCTGATATCTTTTCTCCCTCGATTATATAGTTTACAAATTCTTTTAAAGCAAAAATTAAAAAACATTTTTTTTTGTATTTTCCGCTCCTTATAATACTCTTTTATTTCTCACATATTTGATCAATTTCAGTTAATAAATATTTTGACAAAACGGTGCCAATCCGTTATCTGCGTAATGATGTCATCGTTAGTTACTAAACCACCTAAGAAATGACGACATTTCAAACTGACACTGATGTAAACGCAATACAATTCTGTCTAACACGTAAGTTTTAATTGTTGAGAACTTAATAAAATAACTTTTGTTTGTTCCATTTCTCTTGTTTAATAATTTCTATCTCTTAGCAAAAAGATTGGGAAATCGAACAGCGGTATAAGAATATCGGCACCGGAAGTGATCTGCGCATGAAAAATTACCGTTATTGATCTTACTTATTTTGTCTGGTTAGAATCTAATTAATATCGGTATTAGCGGTGTTTTTCAGCTATTTAACACCGGTCATTTTGATGCAAAAAAATTAATCAATCAGGCCTACACCTTTCGTGGTTAATTTCTACGCATCAAGACTCCAAAACAGTTGTTAAATAGCCGATAAACACTGATACGACTGATAAATACTTTTCAACAGAAAACTATTTTGACTAAAGGCCCTTTTAACCGTGACTTAGTGACCCCAAAAATTATGAGGGGTTATCTATAAGTTATGACCAATTAGTATGTAAAACATGAAGATTTTATGAAAAATATTTTGTACGATGATCAACGGGAACCATGATGTCTACTGACGGACAGATAGACCAACGGACCGACATCATTAAAATATACACATTTTTTTTAAGGGGGCATATAAATGCCTTATTAATTTTTTGTTGAGCTTAAATGTGTTATCAAGGTTGAAAAATAAACATCTCCCTGAGAAAAAAAAGAGTCAAAATTTTGTTAGCCAAATTCATTTACCTATTCATTTACCTTTGTTTATTGACACCAATTACTAAATAACAAACAAGAACCGGTTGAACCGGGTGATGCTCCCCGAGAAGGTTCTGGACACAGGAAAGTATAAAAAAAATGAACAGAGGGCAAAAAATCCAAAATTAGGCAAAGCGGAGTTATGTTTTTTTGCACTGCACTTCTATTCAATGAGATCTATCTATCTATAAAGTTTCATGATGATATCAGAGTTATGTCCCGGGTAAAAGTCAGTGTAAAAATGAACAAAGGGCAATAACTCCAAAATTAGACCAGGATTTGTTTAGGTTCTTTAAGCATTGCAGTTCTATCCAATTATATCTAGCTACCTACAAAGTTTCATGTTGATATCTCTAATAGTTTTAAAGTAATGTCCAGGACAAAAGTCAAAAAGTAAAAATAAACAAAGGGCAATTTCTTCAAAATAAGGCAAGGCAGAGTAATGATTCTTAAGCACTGCACTTCCACCCAATGAGACCTATCTATCTACAAAGTTTCATGTTGATATCTCTCATAATTTTAGAGTAATGTCCCAGACAAAGTTCAAAGTGTCAAAATGAACAAAGGGCAATAACTCCAAAAGTAGGCAAGACAGTGTTACAGTTCTTGTGCACTGCAAACTTACTCAATGAGATCTATCTACCTACAAAGTTTCATGTTGATATCTCTTATACATTAAGAGTTATGTCCCAGACAAAGTTCAAAGTGTAAAAATAAACAAAGGGGGATAATTCAAAAATTAGGCAAGGCAGAGTTAAGGTTCTTGTGCACTGCACACCTACTCAATGAGATCTATCTACCTACAAAGTTTCATGTTGATACCTCTTATACTTTTAGAGTTATGCCCAGGACAAATTTCAAAGTGTAAAATAAACAAAGGGGGATAATTCAAAAAATAGGCAAGGCAGAGTTACGGTTCTTGTGCACTGCACACCTACTCAATGAGATCTATCTACCTACAAAGTTTCATGTTGATACCTCTTATACTTTTAGAGTTATGTCCCGGACAAAGTTCAAAGTGTAAAATAAACAAAGGGGAATAATTCAAAAATTAGGCAAGGCAGAGTTACGGTTCTTGTGCACACCTACTCAATGAGATCTATCTAACTACAAAGTTACATGTTGATACCTCTTATAGTTTTAGAGTTCTGTCCCGGACAAAGTTCAAAGTGTAAAATAAACAAAGTAGGATAATTCACAAATTAGGAAAGGCAGAGTTAACGTTCTTGTGCACTGCACACCTACTCAATGAGATCTATCTACCTACAAAGTTTCATGTTTATACCTCTTATACTTTTAGAGTTATGTCCCGGACAAATTTCAATGTGTAAAATAAACAAAGGGGGTAATTCAAAAATTAGGCAAGGCAGAGTTACGGTTCTTGTGCACTGCACACCTACTCAATGAGATCTATCTACCTACAAAGTTTCATGTTGATACCTCTTGTTGTTTCAAAGTTATGTCCCGGACCAGAAAAGGGGACGGACGGACGGACACGGCGGCGACTATATGCTCCCCTGAAATTTTTTCGGGGAGCATAATGACACTTATCTATAGCTGATCAAGAACTTCCTTTATATGCTGTGGTAATTTTCCAAGCGGGGTGAGCTGGAAATCATAGAACATCACAGCGATAGAGGGCACAATTTCTGTCCAAGGTTCACGCTGTCCACGTTGCCCTTTAACAGGTCTTGATGCAGGCTTCCATGTTGTTGTCTTAGCTCCCTTGTACCACAGTAATTCAAGATTTTCATCACTAACTGAAATAACTCTAGCCAATTGTGGAAATTCATCAGGGTATTTGTCATAATTACAAATCACGAAAGATCCTATTTCAAATGTTTCAACTTCCTTAATTGCTTGTGCTGCTTTTCTGTCCGCTTTCCCTATGATAACCTGAAATAAACACACCTATACAATGGTTGTTTATTTTACACATTTGCATGAAATTATCGTTGGATATTACAACATTTATTGTGGGAACAGTGTTCAAATGTGCGTGTGAATTGTCAAAACCAGTTAATATTCAATATTTCTATGGATTTTAGTCATGTAATAAATAATCATTTTAAATTTATTATCCTAAAGTCATCTTAGATTTATTAGCATATTTACTTTTAATTTCTTTACAAAAAGTTATGTAAAAATGTATTTGTTTTTTGTTTATTTTTCGTTTTATATATATAAGTACTTAGGAATGATGTGATACCTTAGGAATTTCTGGTTTTAAAGTTGGAAGGTTGATGGCATCATCTGTGTTAGATACTTCATTTTCCTCCTCTGGGCTTTTTTGATTTATTTTCTTTTGTCTCAGAATTTCAACTAGCTGTACTTCTGTTGTTTCTAGTTCCTCTATGAATCAAATATAACAATTTCAAATTTTTCATTAGGCCTGGTGACATGATATTACATGCATTATTGATTGAATTATGCCAATGAATAAATAACATGAATGAACATTAATCTTTTCACTTCTTAATTTGTAAACAAACTCCCCTATGGTTAAACCGGTATGAAACTAAATAAAACAATAGAAAGTTATTTCAAGCCATGTTAGTGGTTAAAGCAGCATCCAGATTCATGTTGATTTTCTTGAAAAATTTGGAAATGTTTTTAAAATAGAGGATATTGAATGAGTGTAGGTTTAATACTAAATTTATTGAACGAGTTGAATAAAATCATATTATGCGAGCCTCTGGCTCAAAGAGGTCAATAAATTTAGTATTGAATTTACACGAAAATAATATTCTATTTATCACATATATAAAATTAGAACGGTAAACTGTTAACAAGAGTCATTTTTCTTTGACGCGCCTATAGTGTAAAACTAACACTAACGCTATGTTTATAGTGCAAATGCTGTGACGTCAAAGTGTTATTACACTAGTGTAATATTGTCTAGTGTAATATCGTTTTTATTAAATGGCTTTAATACACTCCAGCGACGCGGTTTATGTGATAAAGTAAAATATTGTGAAGTGAAAAAATGAAGCAATTTTCTCTTGAAACATTTTGGCACATCTGGAGGTGATCAGGTTAAATGAGTGAAATTTTGACTCCAATATAGTAATAGCTCGACTATTCCCGGAACATGATAAACTATGAAACATGTTTTAGTTAAGTTATCAGAAAAGCACACATACATACCATCTTCATATAGTTCATTAATGTATCCATCCCACCATGATTTAAGATCTTCCGCATTGTAGTACCTGATTTTATATCAACAAAATGTATATTTATGTATATAAATTTATTTCAGAGAATAATTACAAAGTAAGTTCATGCAGAAATTTTAACTAAAAATTAAAGGACTTTTACAGTAATTTCAATATATATTATTTTTCAAGGACTAATTTGGTATAAAATAAAAGCTCTTGAGACATTCAAAATGCACAAATGTGTATAAATCAGTAAAAACCACATTTAAATATTCATTTAAGATAATAAAGCTTAATCTTTTACATCAAAATTTTTCAATAAAACAAATTCTTTTTTGTCAAAAGTACATTATGAGATCTTTATTAATTTTCTCTGACTGTACTTTGTAAGACAACATTGCTGAAACAAGCAATTTTTACCCATTTTAAAGCATGATCACAAATAATATGTATTCCATACGGCGCAGCCATTGATAGTGACGTCACTTATAGTTTAATAGTCGGTAAATAAATTTATCTCGAGGTGTGGAGGCCTGCCAACATCGTGATTGTACGAAAAAAAATTAAATATTGTCAATAACATTTTCAAAAAATACATTTTTATACATTTTACAATGTTTTTGTATTTTCAAGGATAGATTTGCAGAATGCTTAATCCAAGTACCTTTTTGGTTTTTTTTGAAGGAAACATTAAATTCAAGTACTTTTCAAGAAAGGAATCATATTCAAAGCCTTCTCAAGTCCTGTGCAAAGCCTTAATAATTAAAATGCTTTCAATTTCAGTATTAAAATACGTTCGTATCAAAAGTTAAAACTGTAAAATAGTTCCCACTTTCTGTACTGTTTTTAATAGCAGTCAGGTTTTTTTTATTAGGAAAATGGGAAGACATTGGACGCTGTTAGGGAGGGGAAATAAAATATATAAAAAAGTCAATTTGGGGAAAATTAAAATGTAAACATAAAATCCTCTGTTACTTAATAATATCTGTCATATGTTGCGGTTCGGACCGGAATATCCGTCCCGAGGGGACCCGCCCATTGGGCGGTAACGAGGCTTACCTATAAACTGTTGTTAAATCTGTCTTCAATTTTTCAATGTCAATATTATCTGTTGTTGATGGGATTGTGTATAATTGTCTTTGTCCCTCCTCTAAAAGCAAACCGTCTCCCCCTGGCTTTATCCAATCCTAAAAATTATTAATGCACTTTAAATTATTATTTTCATAGAATAGAAATAAACAACTCTATTTTGCACAAATCATATCCTCTTTTCTATTTTTATTATCATCAGTCTGGGCATTAGAAATAGCTAACCGGTCAAATGCTAGTCCGCAATTGGTTTTGTAAAATTTCCAATCGCCATATCCCGATTGACCAGTGAAATGTACAACATCATTTTATTTGTGATTAAACTAATTAGATTTTAATCATTATAAGACAATCATATCAATGGTAGAATTTTTTTTTCCTTTTTATTTTTTGATGAGAAAAAAAATCACTCCTGTGGGTAATATTGTGCATATGATATGAAAAACTTACATAATTCTTCAAACCACTAAGAGAAAATTATTTTAAGTATATATTAATATTTAAAGTCTTGTGTAAATTTTACTGACAACTAAGTTCACCTTGTCTGTAGATAATCCTTTATATTGTACCTCTGCCTTCCCAGTTTTTTCGTTGAGTGTTATCTTAAATACATGAGGCTTTGAATGGTTTTTCACATTATTGACTCCTAACCATCTCTGGAAATTGTATACTGTATGCATCTTGATTGCTGAAAGATGTAATTAATTACTGCTTTTATAATACATATTTTTCCTATTTTAGAATCAAGTAATTTTTGGGTATTACACTTTCATGTAATACAAAATTTTAACTCAACTAGTTCAGAGGCATCACAATTTCATTTACCTGTAGGCAAAATTACCCATGATAACACAAGGGCCATGATGGCCTTGAATCGCTTATCAGAAGCAACTGCTTTTCATTATAAAATAAAAGACAACCTAAGATGCTACAGACAAACTTTGGTGATCATCCATCAATCATTAGTTTTTTAGAAACAGATGTTTAAAGGTATTTCTATTATAAGCTTTATCAGCCCCTAAAAGGGACCAATCAAATTAATAAGAGCCATTTTTATAAAAACAAGAACTGTTGGAACACAGTAACTCTCGACTAATCAAAAAGTTGTCACAGGGGTGTTTCATCAAGTATAACAAGAGCTGTCGGTAGGACAGCAACGCTCGACTATTGTTAGTGCTTGATAGTAAAAAAGCCTTAATAATGTAAAAAAATTTAAGTAAAGAAAAAGTTAAAATTTTTCTTTAAATCCATATTACAGATATAGGCCTTGGAGAGAGTCCTATTCTGCTCTCAAAGAAGACTTTAAAATTTCTACAGGTTGGGGTCATGATGGTGAACAAGTGTGCAAAGTTTCAAAGCCATATGTCAATGGACTTTGAAAATATTGGAGGTGTTACAAAAACTTTAACATTAACTGGTTATGCCGACGCGGACGCCAACGCTCGGGTGACTACAATAGCTCTACTTATTCTTATCAAATAGTCGAGCTAATAATGATACAATAAAAATGTTCAAAGGTTCTTATTATATTTTTATCTTAAGCGGCCCCTAAAAGGAGCCAATTCGATACAAAACTAAGAAAGCTGCAGACAAATTTTGGTGATCATCCATCAATTAATTTAGTAATAAAAGATGTTTAATGTTTTTGTCTATTTTTAGCTTAGCTGACCCCTAAAAGGGGCCTTCTGAAAAGGCATAAGCAAATGTAAGTGTGACTGTCATAATTTAGGAAGCTACACACCAAATTTGAGGTAAAGATGAATTTAGACGTGTGACGCCGGAGATTCCCCCGTTGATACTAATAGCTTACCCTAATGTTATGATGAGCAAGAAATTGTCATGTTTAAAACTATTATGACCTGTATTAATATTTATTAATTACCTGTTGGTCTTGGTCTGTAACAGGTCTCAAATCCTTTCATCAGTTCATCCATTGTTAATACCGTGTTCTGTCCAATCCATACTGAAAATCTGGTATGAAATGAAGAATGAATGAAGAAACTTTTAAGTTCAGTTGATGATGATTAACAAACATCTTTTCACGACTTCAGTTGTGAATACATGCTACATTAATGCACTGTTTAATGATAAAGAGTCAGCATTTGCAATTACTTCACAATGTTAACATAGGGTAAACGCATTGAACAGTTGGTGCCGGAGATTGGAAGATTTGTGTTTAACAAACACGTTAATTTTCTTTTTATGTGCCCCCACTATAGGGGAGAAGGGCATTCAGATTTTATGCTAAAATTAAAGTAAATTTTTCATCAGCATATGAAAACACAACACAGTAATGTAATTATGCTACAGGTTCACTTCTTTATAGCTTTTTCACATAGATTTAAGTAAATAGTCCATTACTTGCATAATAGTTGCATACCTTGAAAATACTTGATCCACATCCTCATGTGTGTGTCCAACCAGGAGGAAAGACAATTTGACTTTTTTGAATATCTTTTCTTCAATTAAACGTGCCAAAAAACCTAATGTGTACCTGAAATGATTTTTTTCCCTTGTTGAATACTTAATACTATAAATATAGGATATTGAATGAGTGTAGTTTAATACTAAATTTATTGAAAAAGTTGAATAAAATTCATAATATGCCAGCATCTGGCAAGCATAATATTGTTTTTAAACAAGTTTAATATGAGTTTAATATTGAATCTACACAAATAAAAATATATATAATATTTTAAGAATCATACACTAGCTGCCGGTACAGACTGAATTGTACAAACACTTACTATTTCAAAGTAATAACAACACAAGAGCTGTCACAGGAGACAGCGAAGCTCGACTAATTAAATACTGGACGCAGTAAGGAAGACAAAACTATGAAAGAAAAATAAATTATGTATAATTATGTATTAAGTTACAGTAAAAAATAACATTTGTTAACATAAATTCCAAGATCAAGGGGAATAATTCTAGAAATAGTCATGCTAGAGTTATGGACCTTGCCACACAACATTTGTGTAATGATAAGAAATATATATTTGAAGTTTGAAGTAGATACCTTAAAAAATAAAGAAGTTATTATATTTCTTAAAGAAAATCCTAAGTTCAAAGAGAGATAAATCTGTAAATATTGCTTCAAGAGTTATGAACATTGTCACATAAAATGTAATTGATGATAAGGAATAAGTATTTGAAGTTTGAGGTAGATACCTTTAAAAATAAAAAAGTTAAAATAAAAAATAACATTTTTCTAGTAAATAAAAGTTTATGGAGAGATAATTCTTGCAATATTGGTGCTAGAGTTATGAGCCTTGTCACATAATATGTGGATTATGATAACGTAAATATAATTGAAGTATGAAGTTGATCCCTTCAGAAATAAATAAGTTACAGTAAAAAATAATATTTTTTATGGAAAATTCTAAGTTCAAAGGGAGATAAATCTGAAAATATTGGTGCTAGAGTTATGGACCTTGTCACATAAGATGGGGATGATGATAAGGTACATATATTTGAAGTATGAGGTTGATCCCTTAAGAAATAAAGAAGTATCAGTAAAAAATAGTATTTTTTAAGGAAAATTCTAAGTTCAAGGGGAGATAAATCTGAAAATATTGGTGCTAGAGTTATGAACCTTGTCACATAAAATGGGGATGATGATAAGGTACATATATTTGAAGTATGAGGTTGTTCCTTTAAGAAATAAAGAAGTATAAGTAAAAAAAATAGTATTTTTTAAGGAAAATTCTAAGTTCAAGGGGAGATAAATCTAAAAATATTGGTGCTAGAGTTATGAACCTTGTCACATAAGATGTGGTTGATGATAAGGAACAGATATTTGAAGTTTGAAGTTGATATCTTAAGAAATGACAAAGATATAGTGAAAAATATTTTACTGCACCAAAACTTTAATCTAAAATCTGGACGTGGACGCCGACGCCGGGGCGAGTAGGACAGCTCTCCATATACTTCGTATAGTCGAGCTAAAAACCACTCTCAGGCAAATATTGTTGATTCAGTTCTTTATTTACTAACATGTCCTCATGTTTACTAGTTATTCCATGACCTGGTCATGCTGTGGAATAATCTGTTCTGCGTATTCCCAAATGTTGTGGCCCTTAATGGGTTACTTTAGATAGGTTTTACTTTTAATTCTTCTCAACGTTAGCTCAGGAGACAATCCTAACATATTTTAATTTAAATTTGGTTCAAACAATATCTTGTTGTCTTTTACAAGTAAATGCAAATTAAACAAGCAATTATCATAGTATTCCAAGCAATCCAGTCCCCTACAGGTTCAGAGTACAACCAGAAAAAAACAACAAAAAAACATGAATGAAGACCTTTTTAAGGAACACTTACTTATTTTTATTCTGCCCATAACAATTATCCATCTGTAAGTACAGGATATCGGGAATAAATTCCAACATGGTGAGAGTGTGAGCCAATACTGACAATGTATAGCATGACCCATGAGACCATTGGAAAGCGTCGAAGTATCCATATATGCCTATACCATGAGCGACCTTCCCGGGTGTAGATTTTCCAAGGTTTTTGGCTCAAAAACCTTGGAAAAAAACCTCGGAGTATTGGAACAAGAAAATGCAAAACTTCGCTATTAAAAAAACCTTGGAAAAATAGGGAGAGGGTGAAAAACCTTGTAAAAAATTTCCGAGTTTTTATTTAAAAAAACCTCGTAAAAAGTATGACCTCGGAGTATTGGAACGATTTCCAAGGATTTCAGAATAAAAACCTCGTAAAATAATTTCCGAGGATTTTTTTCAGAAAACCTTGGAAAATGAGTGACCTCGGAGTATTGGAATGATTTCCAAGGATTTTTAAAGTGTTTCCGTGTTTTTTTTTCCAAGGTTTTTAAATGAAAACCTCGGAAAGTTTCTCACAACTGGGAATACTGTTATATTTTCGAGGATTCTTACTTAAGGGCATCAGAGAATTTTCCAAGGTTTATTTGAGCAAAAACCTTGGAAATTCTAGAATATCCATGGAAAATAAGAAAATATAACATCCAATGAAATATTCTGAAAAGAGCAATTATATTGTCCTTTTAAGGAATTAAGAAAATTCTTTATAATAATACAGAGCAAAAAATGATCACATGACTCACTGAAACATTTAATGTCAGTGTGAAGTAAATAGTAATGCACTACAAATGAAAAGTTAAGTTAGTTATTATAGTCTTTAATGGTAAATATTACAATCAATGTTCAGTTATAATTTTTTGGTATCCGGCTATATTTTAATGTATTCAAATATCTATCTTTTGAATTCCTGTTCACTCTCCATGATTTTAAAGTGTCCCTTAGTTTTTCCCTCACCATCACAGGGGTCACATGTGGAAAATGCTCCAGGATACAATTCCTGAAATAAATAAAGTAAATATTTAATAAAGTACAGCCATTGAAAGAAGTTAGAAAAACAATTATATAAAATCACCACTGGGTGCTTCCCTCTCCATGTGGTCAGGATCAAAGACTTCAAACTACTTGCCTTACAACATTGTATTTTTGACTCCTGAAGCCAGGATGGGCTTCTTCCCTCTGAGGGAGCTATCCAGCCCAGGATTAAGGAACACCTGTGGTTATACTCAGGACAGTTCAGTATGTGTAGGCAATCAGAATTACATCATTTAATTTCTTTTTTATTAATCAATAAAAAAAACGTTTAACCGTTTCCATAGACAAAAATATCAGTTCACTGTTGATATATATTGTTTAAAAAAATCAGCACTTTTGTGAAAAGAAATACATCTTTTGAGTGATCCAAAACTACTTGAATGACAAGTTGTTTAAGACCTTTGCTTAAAATGAAGGCTTTAATATTTTTAAATGACCTTTTCTGTAGTTACTTTTAAATGTTTGTCTACTGTTTTGAAATAGTGAATTTAATTTTTTTCATGTTGATTTCTATTTTTTCTTCATCAGTACTTTTAGTGTCAGGATTTCAAGAAATCTTTGGTAAGCAGTGTGACAATTCTGCGATGTTAAGAAAAGAAACAATGTCTGTTACTATTATTTTAGATTATGTCATACTGGATGTTACAACCTAAAGCACTCCAAAAATATTGCAAAAAATAACGCTTTTTATAAGGTGATTCCGATTGCCTACACTAATTGTATCTGTCTGCTCAAAGTGACATCTGCATCAATAAAGCTGGAGAGTCATCATGTAACATTAACAGCCTTTCCAACAAAGTATCAATAAAAAAATCAGTTCCAGAAACCTTCATTCATTCAAATTTCAAATTGAAACTTTCAAAAACCTAGTTTTAAAACAAAAACATACTGTAGTATATTCCTTGAAGCCTTTCCTTACAGGTCTACAGTTGGCTTCCTTAATCACTTGACTTTGAAGGTGCCAATGCCAATGACATTCCAGTATATTCCTCTGCTTTATACTATGATAAAACACAGCTGGATAGTTTGGAACAGTCCTGCAAACTTGCTTACAAGCTGACTCTGTAATTAAAAATTTGTAGATTCAAATAATAGATGAAAGATGAAAGTTTATAAATAATGTCATCATAGTTTAATGCACTCATCTTGTTCAATACAATCATATACAAGCATAGCATTTATACTCATAAAATATCCTCTAAACAATTGTATTTAAATAGCTTACATTTAGGTTAAAAATATAAAATAGTTTGTATTTAATACTTATTTGAAAAAAAAACAACAACAGATTTTATGCATAAATGTATCTAAAATTATTTACCTGAACATTTTAACTATCTTGTTTCTTTTGTTTATCTTCCTGTCCCAGGTCATTGATCTTTAGGTTCAATTACAACAGCCAAACATTTCCTGAATCTTGTCACACTTAGATAAATGTTTTCTTTGAAAATTCCAAAATATGCTCCCTAACATTAATAAAACAAGATATCTCCATAATTGCTATAAATAAATCCAGGTTTGCACTATTTCCAACTATAACCACTTGACCCATTAATGTCTGAGATTCAAATTTTTCAACAGTATAACTGAAGGGGCAATCATAATGTGAAACAGGGGTGATCCCAAAATATCAAAGCCTGGTCATCATTTTTTTTTGACATTTATTGAAGGTACAAATATATCAAATGATAAATAAAAGTAAAACTTGAAAATTATAATAAGTTCTTGAAAGAGAATCACAGTTGCAGTGTCATTTTAGACTGTTTTGGATTGTATAAAAACCCAGACTCCCCCTGAATAATCACATGGAACAATCTGGTCTATCCCAGAATGCTCAATGGGAAGATTGATCATGCATAGATAAAGGGAACCACCTGGGGTGCCATTAGTTTTATCTGATCAGTGTGTTATATTCTGTGTGTGAAATCTTAGTGGATGCAGTATTTATTTATCCTAATTATAAGAAATTAACAAGCATACTGGTTATTATATTTCAGACATTCAATTGTACATAATTATATTTAAAGGACAATTAATAACTATTTATGCTTATTGTACACATAATTAATGGCAGAGTAAATTGTAATCTGAATGTATGTCACAGACTTGCTTAGTAGAATATACTATTTTATATGGCATAAAACATATATTAAAGATTAATAGCATTCTTATTTCAGTGTTGCTTACAAGCTGTCAAGAAACCCTAAGTTAAGTCTATATATAGAAAGAAACTGCAGGAAAAATACTGATGTATTTGGAAACTAATAGACATAAACACTGATTGTTTCTTTTTCTATAATTATAAGTTTTGCTCTTTTATCTATTCTTAAAAATGGAGAAGATATCTAGTAACAATAATTATAAATAATAAAAAAAATATGAAAATAAAAAAAATAAAATTTTCAAGTCTTTCTGATCATCAGTTATTTGAATAATCTTTATCTTATTTTGATTAGTTACAATACCTTTATAGCCATTAATAAAAGGTATTTTATGGCAACAAGGAATTTACATTGTATTTAACTTTTCCATGTTTTCACACTTAATTTTTTTAAATTGATTCCTCCCCAAAAAATGGCTTACAAATTTATTGAAAAGGAAGTTGGCCATTGACAATGTCCATACTAAAAATTGATTCCCTGGACCAAATCTCTCCTTTCCATGCTGTTGGACAATTGTTTGCTCTGACCATGGATTAAAAAATATCCATTGGTAATCTACAGTCGGGTTGTTATCTTAGTTTGCTTTAACTGTTGATTATTGCTTTTGATGCCCATTATAAGTTAAATCATGATTATGTCTTAACATTTTCCGAGATGAAATTTAGTTAAGTTCAATTATCCGAGGTCATTTCCAAGCTAAATATTGGCAAAGTGTTTCCAACAAATTTTACGTAAATTTTCTAAGTTCTTTTCCGAGCAAAAAAATGACAAAGTTCTTATTTCCAAGCTTTTTCCGAGCTGATTTTTGGCAGAGTGTTTAATTCCGAGGTAGTTTCCAAGGTTTTCTTTATTTCCAAGGATTTTTATACAAAAACCTTGGATAAAGTTTCCAAGGTTTTAAAAAAAACCTCGGAATTAAAAAAAAACCTTGTAAAACTGGTTTATTTCCAAGGTTTTTGAAGCAGTTTCCATGTTTTTTTTTCATAAACCTCGGAAAATCTACACCCGGGACAGCCATCAAGTTTACTCTCAGTCTACGGTAGAAAATATCACAAATACTGTTAAAAACAGATAAACAAGCGGGCCATGATAACCCTGAAATCGCTCACCTGTATATAGGCCTTTGGGGCGCGGCTAATTTATATCCAGGGGCTTTCTTTTTTAAACCAACTTTGTAGACACCAATTAGAAGATGTTTTATGATAAATATCTTAGCTCTAGCTCTTTTGGGTTTTAAAAGAAGATTTTTTAAGTTGTAACTATTGACATATAAGGAACATCTAAGCTCTAGCTCTATGGGTTATTTTAAAGATTTGTTAAGTTTTTACTATAAACTTGATAGACACTCACCCAAAAATGTTTCATGTTTAATATCTTAGCCTAACCCTTTCATTTAAAAAAAAAAAAGAAGATTTCTTAAGTTGTTACTACATACATATTAGGAAAATCACTGACACCCCAGGTGGGGCTAATTTTGAACCCATGGTTTTTAAGGGTGTAGTACTTAAGTACCAGTACCAGTACTTGCTAAGATTTGCAGTACCAGTACTTGATTTTAGCTTGGTACTGCAGTACCAGTACTTTTTTGGGGGAAGTAATTAAGTACCAGTAGACTACTAATACTTTTATTTATTATATACCTATAAATTTTCTCGCTAAAATACACGCAAATATTGAAGCGCAAATACACTTCAGCGGATAGAAATTTCCGTATTATGTTAGTGACAAATACGGTACCATATATGGAAGTGCCGGACTATTTTTGACGTTGGTCTCGCGAGATATCAATTTTCCACCGCTGCTCGTAGAAAAATACAAAGCACCAGAAAGCTACTACAACATAATATTCCGTATATATTCATCAAAGTTTGAATAAATACACAGTGTCATTCTAAATAATTGCAAACATTATTCAACAAAGAAATAAAATCATTTACTTTAAAGTTGACATTACATTTTTACAAATTAAATGAACGAACCTACTTTTTACAAACAATAATTACAACATATATTCATGTCATATGTTATTGTTTAGTAACCATTCAATTGTAATAAAATGCAATAATCTTACATTTTAAACCCACCAGTCTTTTTGTTGCCTTTCACATTTTCACACCTCTGTTCAATTTATACCAAAGTAAATAACAACTTTTTATGGTGCTAACAATATCACTTGAAATAGGATTATTTAGAATAGAAGTAATTAATTAGTGTTTATTTTGCTTTTTTTTTTACTAGTAAATACAAAGTAATAAGATTGCAATACTTTATTAGTAAAAATAATGACATTTTTATCAAAACCAAAAATACTGCCTTGTAATGCAGTAGCAGTACCACATTTTAAGACAGCAATGCAGTACCAGTACCTGTGTAGTAGCAAAATTTTGTAAGAATAATTCAGTATCAGTACCAGTACTTGCAAAATCGCTGCAGTACATACTGCAGTACCAGTACCAGTAATGCAGCTCTGACCATGAGTCTTTCAAGGATGGACATAACAAGGAGACACACACACACACCTGAACTACTCATCAATTGCAACTGAAAATGCAACTGAAATACCACTTTAAATATCTTCTTTTTTCATTTCATTTCAAATTGAAAAAGTAGGGATAATAGGGCTATTTCAGAAAAAAGTAGGGCAAAGTAGGGATCAAAAGAAAAAAGTAGGAAAAAGTAGGAAAAATAGGAAAAGTAGGGACCAGTAGAAAGCCTGTAATGCGCATCCAAACGACAAACAGTGATGTTATCAAGCAATAAGATCACCGATTTGGATATATTATTTCGATTCTAACACGTCATCAAGAAGTAAATGCTGCCGTACATAATAATGAGCTAAACTGCGCCCGATTTGTTTCCGTACTTATTGGCAGCGCGTTATATTTTTAGTGGTTACGTCACGTGTATAATGATTAGGTCACATGTCTAAATATAGAAGGTAAAACAGTGATTTTATAGCATAATAAAACACACTTTCGGTTCCTCTATGTTCAATAGGGAAAAATGCGGGTCGTGTTAGAATACACATATAATTTTTGGGCGTTTATTTAAATTCATTTAAATTTCTGAAATTCAATTCTAAGGAAAATGGCCCGAACTAAAATAATGTATGAAAATTAACAAAGGGCTGTAACTCAAAAGCACTTCACTCCAAGTCATTATAAGAAGCATGCATACCAAGTTTGAAGTCAATCTCAATAATAATGACTGACTTATGCTCCGGAAAAGCTTAAGGGGATGCCGACAACGACGCTAACACTGCCAACAAAAGTAACCACTATTTAGCTCCTTTCTCGTTGCGACAAAAAAACATAAATTTGATGTGACATAAATAAGGTACAGTAGATAAATAAAAAAATCAACAAAATTCAATAAATTGTTTCAGCTTTGAAATCTTGAATATTCCTTAGTGGAGACTGCACAAGGGTAAAAAAAAAATTCCAATTTATTATTTTTGTGAAAGACAAAATTATTTGACAACATCATTGGACAAAGTCGTACTAGTACTTGACACTTCAAATTTTTTACAGAAAAAAAGTGAAATATCAGAATATGATTTCAACGAATCTACCAAGGAAGTTATAGGCGGAATTCATATCATAAAAGCTATAAAAGAATTGGTGACAGAAAGTGAGGATGACAGTTGTATGACATGTGTACAGTATGTATTATGCATCACTTCAATTGGCCTTAATCAAAAATTAAAATAAAATATTAAAGATTGTAGGCAAAAAGTAGGAACTATGATTTTCAGTAAAAGTAGATTAATGGAAACTACATGTACTTTACATGAACCGTAAGTAATGTACTTTTTATGTCAAAAAATGATTAAATTAATCTGCTACATTTTAACTTGACATCTTGTGCACAATAGCAAGTTTGCTCGTCAAGAAAAAAATTCCATCCTTTGTAAAGTTGCATAATTGGAAGTTTCCTATGTGTTTATTTACCTGTATTATCGCAAATCGTATAGTAGACGATCAGTTTCATGTTGTCACCAGTAGGAACACAAGGGAAAGAAACCACTAGTGAAGTTTATTAAATATAATATTTCAATGTAGCCGGACTTTATCTAAATGCGGATAAAACGAAAATCATAACTAAATGGAATAACAGGCAGAACTAAATGTCGTCATACGTAAATTTTGCTTGTTTAGGAAAGGGAAGTCAATGTCAACATACATCATGTTAAAAATTTAACCAAATTAGATAAATTCAACAGAAAAATATATATCAAAATTTATGATCAGTAAAAATTGTGATTTTTGTCAATTTTGAGATGTTCCTTTGTTTCCATAGTAACAGAAAATTAAAGCCTGAGCATGGTGTTGCAAAGGCAATTGTCCAGTCAACATTTGTGCCAAATTTATTTAGTATTGAAGCAGTCTTTATAGTACTGTGGCAATTTGAACTTGTAACGGGAGAGTTTTCAATGAAAACGGCCATTTTTCAAAAATTGCTCATGAACTTAATTGGTTAGAGAACAAAGGTAAATTCAGCAGACCAACTTGAAAAACATGATATGATGTGTAAAGACAGTCATGTCCTGTCCATATCTTTGTAATTGACAAACAGATTTGTAATTAATTGGCTAAACACAATTTGTTACAAGTGAGAGCATGTGTAAAAATTAAAGCTCAACTATGACTATAAGATATATTTTCTAAAATTGGCTTATTCACTCATCAAATCTGTTATTCATGAATGTATTTCAATATAATTTTGTATACTTTTGAGACACATAAGAAAAAATGGTCTCCAAAACAGATAGAAAGATGAAGGTTTTAGAAGACATTTGACTTTGATTAAAAAAACGCTACATGGTTTTTGATGGAAAAATTTTAAAATGATCCAGGCTATTTATAATGTTGTTAAATGATGTATTTAGTACTGCAACACATTCAGACTTTTCCCGTACCTAACGAATGTAAACAAGAGAAAAGGAGAAGTCTTTTGAACGCACTTTTTTGTAATTAATATCAAGCTTTCACAAGGTCATATTTTTTTTCGATACTGATGGTAATATGTATCATTACTCTACTTTGGTAAATATTTATCATTTGACAGTTAAAAAGTGCTTGTAAATCGGAATTTACACCGCGTAAAATCGAACCGTACGCGCATCATCTCAGCGCATGTTGTTCACAACATTGGGTACCCAACGGGGAAATTTAGTGTGTATATTACCCGTCTGGCTCGGTTATATCAATTTCTTTCGGGTGATCAATATCCAACCAAAAAGGCGGAAAAAAATCTGGAAGGGTAATAAAACTTTTTTTTCATATTCATGTTCTGATCTAATTTCAATATTCAATATCATGTTATAAAAATTTCAGAAAAATTGATGTTGATGTATTTATCAATTTGACAAATGAAGAGGCGGTAGAAATTGGGGCAATACACAACAGCCGTCAAAAACAGAAAAAACTGAACTTCCAGGTAGGTGATTTTCATATTTTCAAATTTAATGATTTATCTTGTAAAATGAAATTACCAACATTGTTATGAAGCTTTGCTATTTTTTCAAGTATGTCATATCATATTAAAATTTGAAGAAAAAAAAAGAGTCTTAAATGAATATGCCCCAAAAACGCTTCACAGGCTTTAACATTTAATGTACTTTTAAAATTTCCTAACAGCTAATTATTGTCAAATTATATTCCATTATCTTGTATTCTTTTTCAGTTGTATTATTTTCTTTGTGGATAAGTGGATGGGGGAGTGAATAATTAATGTAATATAAATACAGTGATAAAGTCTATTTTGAAACAAAAATCCAATTTTACAAACACTCTTCTGGTCTCATTCATTATATACAATTTTGAGGTTTTGACATATGGGGTTAAGTCCTACATTATGTTTGTTCATACAAAATGATTAATATAGAAAATTGACATTAAGAATGTAAGCAGTGATAAGAATATTTCACAAGAAAGACCAAACCACAATTAAGCAGCACATTGTTGACCTCAATAAAGGATTTGTACTGTATATCTGTAATACAAAAGTTAAACTGTATCATGCAAAGTTGCATCCTTTGAAATAATAATAGCTTCCTGTTTATCCGAAAAAATCGAAAGTCAATTGTCAATGAAATTGTTATCATAATTATTGACCAAATTTAATCTGTAATTAATTACAATTGGGCAAGTTCATCAATTACATGATGATTTTAGTGTAATCATGCAACATGTTAACATTTTAATAGATTCTGTGATGCTCCAAAAAAGCATATAAAATTCATGTCAGCCATTTATGAAGAAGTTAAAATTTAATCACGTCTGAGGGATATGTTTAAAAGCAAAAAACTAAACTTTGAATAACCAAAGGTTTAAACGTTGGATAGTCTGTTGATTTTTTAAAGTGGCTTCTGAATATGTTTTATTTATACCACAAGTTTGTTGTATAGTTTGCCTTGTTTTCATCTTTATAAAATACTTTAGGATCACATGTCATACATGATGTTGACTAAGAATATTACTTGTCATTATGATGCACTTCTCTGAGTAGACAAAGAAAACCACATGCTGTTGTACATTTTTTAGGATAAAGTGACAATGTGCAGAAAAGTGCACAATGAAAACAGTGAGGACTGGAAGAAAAAAGCAGTTTGCTTGCTGAAATGTGTTTCATATGAGGTATACATTCATTTGTATTGAATATTTCAAGCTAATTTTGTAAATTAATTACAGTTCAAAATTTTATGACATTTCAACATTAATTGTAGGCAGGCTGAGAAGTTTTGTAAAAAAAATTAAACATTCAAGCTATGTTCCAGTGATAATATAACAAATACATAATTATATTCTTTACATGATGTTAGGTTGCTTACATAACTATATTTGGTTTAATAATATTTTATTGTTATATTGTATATTTTGTACTGTACATAAACATAATGTACACGCCTAAGAATAATACAGGAATTTCTTGAAATTTTGATTTTTATACACCAGTTAGAAAAATTGGTCATATTATAGTTCCTCTCTTGGCGGGCGGTTGGTGTCACGCATTGAGGAATTTTAATGAAAGTATATAGGTCAAAGGTCAAGGTCACACTTAGAGGTCATTGAAAACCGCATGTCTGGAGCCAAACTTCTACATGCATAGAGGGATTTCATTATAACTTGGGACAAATGTTTCCGATGGTGAGGTAGAGTGTCAAATGAAAAAAAATTAGGTCACCGCTGCCGAGGACAAGGTCACACATAGTCAAAGTTCAGATAAAAATAAGAAAATGTGTATTCGGATGTTTAGGTCAACATTTATAAAGGGATTGAAACACTTGTAATGGTCATTGATATGACCACTATAATGTGAAGCTAGGTATTGAACAACTAATCCAGGACCCTAAAACCAAAGTCATGGTCACAAAGAGAGGTAAGTTTGTGTCCGGGAAGGATCAATGAGCATTTATTGATGGATAGTAACACATGCGATAAATATCATAACTAAAAGTGTGACACATGTAATAATTAAGAAATAACATCGGCCAGAGAGGTGTATATCGGCTATTGAACACCGGTTTGGAGTTTTGATGCGCAGGAATTGACCACGAAGGCCGTAGGCCCGAGTGGTTAATTTTGTCGCATCAAAACGACAAAACCGGTGTTAAATAGCCGATATACACCTCTCAGGCCGATGTTATTTCGATTCTAACACGATAAAATAAAGAAAATCACTTATGTTATTTTTCAAGCGGAAATAACTTCCGGTGCCTATTTTCGTCTAACGCTGTTCTATTTTCGCATCCTACTGTTGCGAAGATATAGAAATTATTAAACAAAAGAAATAATAAGAAAAAAACGTTATTCTATCAATTTTTCAACAATAAAAACTAAAGTCGTATTGTGTTTACATCAGGGACCCATTTATCATTCTTGTATTTATGAAATAACTTCAGCTTGTTTATGAATGAGTTGTTTACTTACGATGACGTCATTACGTTGCTTACGGATTGGCGCCGTTTTGTCAAAAATTTTATTAACAGATATGGATCTAATATGTGGCGTTAGTGTATGTGAGATATTATTTTGGTATTGTATGAAAAGAAAACATTATACGAACTGAAAATATAATTAAAAATGCTTTTTATTGTTGCTTTAAAATTCTTTGTAAAACTTACAATCGAGGGTGAAAACATAACAGCGCATGTACAAGTAGTCCCTAACCGGTGTTTATTGCCAGTTTAACACCAGTTTTTTTCCTTCTTTATCTATAGTGGCAAAATCACGTGAGTGTTAGAATGTGTTATAACATGTGTAATTATTGAACGTCACCTGTTATTTTATTACATATTGACATATTCATGGTCCTATATTCAGCAGGGAAAAATGCAGGTCATCAAAAGGTTTGCCAAGTATTGTTCTTCATGTAAATTAATTCCTTTGTGTCTGCTTGCTAAAAAATCAGTAACCATGTCTACCATTGTCATGAGTGTGGGTTGCTGTAGAACTTTTTTTAATACTTTAAAATTCCTATTATGTTTAATTCAATTGCTTATTTCTGAAATAAAATAAGAAAAATCACTTTTATTTCAGAAGGCCACTCCTCAGTCATGTTGTACAGTCCTGTCTGTGGCAGGGTATAGTGAAGCGGAATATGAGGCAACGCAGGCCTTATTCCGACATTTTGATGATGAGGGAGGAAATAGCAGGAGTTTTCCTCAAAATGTAAGGATATTATTAATAATTTGTGCTTTGACTTTAATTATCCTATTTAAATTTAGAATTTACAAAATAGATAGGTTAACATCTAGTAACATGAATTCACTTGTTCTTAAATGAATGTACAGATGACAGATTAATTAAATAATAAATAAACTACAAATATGGTGAAATATAGAATTCTAACGGTCTTTGTTTACATTTGTAAAAATCTTCAAGAGTTTTCTTTATAACTGCTAGATGTTACATCATGTCTTTGTTGTCATATGTTTGATGTTCAGATAGGAATATTTGTGCCGAGGGCAATAACCATGCTTGCCAATTTGCTGTTTCCCGAGGGACTAATAAGCCAATCCGAAACACAGAATTATGTCAGATATTTTTTCTAGCATACATTAATCTGGCATATTATTTCATAGTTAAAGTGGTTAACCTAAATAATGTATTTGCAACTGGAAATTAATGTCATTTCATTGATAATTATTTTCTATAGCTTATGAATTTACGACTTTAATAACAACAATAGCAAGTAATCTGGCATGGGGCCTAGTGAAATTTACATTATGGGTTAAACTCACATAAACAGCTGTCTGCTTTGCTTTGCATTGCACGAATAAATTATGGGCCATAAGTTTCGTTTCGTTTCGACGGTATCGTTTTGGTTCTTAGCAATCGTGTAAACGTTTACAAAAAATTGTAAACGTGGGACCCTTACTTGTGACCTTGACCCAACTGACCCCTTACTCTATCCAAAGTAAGAATAACATGCAAGTTATTTTCCTACCAAATATGAAATATATGTGTAAATAAATAAAGGCTGTATGGGCAAAAGTGTAAAAATCAATTTTTAGCACTAGTAACCTTGACACACTAATTCCTAACTAAATCAAAAGAATACCATGCAAGTTATCTTCCAATCTAATATGAAATACACTTGTCAATAAATAAAGCCTGTATGGGCAAAAATGTAAAAATCTATTTTTAGCACAAGTGACCTTGCCCGAATGATCCATACCCCTATCAAAAGGAAGAATCCCGGGTGTAGATTTTCCAGGGTAAGCCTGGAAGAGAGGCTGGTAAACCCTGGAAAACTATGGAAAAGCATGGAATTTCATGGAAATTCATGGAAAATTGGTATTTTTTCCATGCTATGTGGACTTTTTTTGTCCAGCCATTTCCAGCATTGCTGGAATAGGCTGGAAATTGGCTGGACATTTGTGGTAAAAGCCTGGAAAACCATGGACTTTACTTCCATGTAGCATGGAAAGTGAAACTTAGATTTTTTTTGATGCTGGAAATGTGTTAAACTTTCTCTAAGTATGCTGGAAAAAACTTGTAAAATTTACAACAAGAAATCTTACTTTATATATTCAGCACAATATTGTAAATTTACGAAGAAAATATACAATCATCATTTATTTTAATGCAAGTTACTGTAAATGATTTGAAATTTGACACTTAATACTTTTTATGTAGTTGAAAAAAGGTGTCTCAGAAAAAATGTCTATGCTAAAGACATAAATGAATTGATTGTTCAAAATACATATTATTATTTAAATAAATCTACATGAAGTTATGTACAATGAAATAATATCCATTTAATTACAGGCTTTAAGTTTAACTATAAATTAATTAAAGTCTGTGATTAAATCATTCAGACACTATAATAATCAAGATGGGATTGCATTGCTTGCCATTTTTAAATTGTAAGAATTCATGTTTTTGGATAACAATAAATAAATAAATAAACAAAACAAAACAGTGCATGAAAGAATCTCATATATATTCTATATTAAATTGACCAATATTTAGGAAAATAAATACTACATCCACTGAGATTTTACGCTACACAGATCAGAGCTCTGATAAAACTCATTGACCAGCATTTTCTCACCATCTGTGCATGACTAATTTACTCCACTGGTCATTTCAGATCAGACTGTTCCATGTGATTATTTTGGGGAGAGATAACATTATAAATTTCATATGAAGAATGTGTCTAGAAGGACATTGCAATCTTTTTTGTACAAAAATTTGTAATGATCTTTAAAATCTATATATCAATTAGCTATTTCATATTTTCTTTCACGCTCAAAGAATATAAGTTAAAATGATGAGCAGATTAACCCTGCTTTACATAATGATAGACCTGTCCTGAGTAACTGTTGTAAATTTTGAATTCTAAGATATCTGAGTCAGCAAAGAGTGCATTGAAATTACAGAGGATGTACTTGATATTTTAGCAGTTTTGGAGATATTGTTTTGTTTAAGACTTTAAAGTGTTTAAGTATTGGTATGATAACAATAAGAATCACCTGGGAAAAGGAGATATACAACAGAATCAGGTATTTATAAACCTTAAGTTACATCAATGCAGAAACAGGTTATATATCAAACTATCAACATTTGTAACAAGAGATCAAGGTTGTTTTTATATTTTCAACTTCATGCATTTGTTTTTTCTGATAATTGTTTCTAATCTATACATGTATAATCTTTAAGATATAAATTATTCAATGATTTCTTTATAATGTATATTGTTAAAATGACAATTGTTAGTAGATCTTTTTCATTTCCTACAAATAAAACAAATTAAATCAATTTGATTAAATAGGACTAAATGGTACAATCAGTAGTTTTGTACAGCTGAACAGGGTCATCATAATCATTTGTTATTTACATGTATGTGTTGTGTTTTCAATGGAACAATCTAAAATTACATTTTACATTATACAATTACATAACTTGCAGGCTGGGACATAAGTGCTGACTGTGAGAATTACCAACAGTGTTTAATAATGATGTGCAGTATTAATCCTGAAAAGGTATATTTTTAAATCTCAATATGTGTACTTTTTTATTCCATGTCTTTTCTTGAAAAAATACATACTGGGTGATAAATATTGTCACAAATTTACTTAATTCTTATACATGTACAGAGAAATTCTTAAACACTTGTGCACTTTGAAATAAGATATACTGCATTGCTTTAGTATTTTTGAATATGCATAAGCATAGTTAATATTTAATAGTTAATACATTTGAAACATTAGATTTGATGTTATTAAAAGATACCAAATATAACTGCAAAATATTTATATGCAATAAAACATAAGTCATTACCACATCTGTTGTTAAATTTATTATTAATTTTATCTTTAAAGGTGAGCACAACCACAAGAAGTTTTAGGAAACATAGGTAGAGGACTGAAAATGGACATCAATAAAAGAAACAGTAATTTAAATAATCAGAAACACTTGAAACAAATCTAAGATTAAAACAGTTTATCATTGACAGATTAAGAGCAAAATAATTGCTAAAATTTATAAGACAACCAGAACCTAGCTAGCAAACCTGCAGCTAGAAAAATAACTGTTTGTGCTATAGTGAATGTAGGATGTTCTATTCTGTATTTGGACTAAAGGATATGTATTAAATTTTGTGAAAGAAATATGTGATCATGTTAAACTAATAAAAATTCCACCCCAAACATTCCTGTGCTGAATTTCTTCAGAGAATTTTAAATTTTAAGAACATTCAGGGATGCTGGAATTAGGCTGGATTTTTTTCCATGTTATTCCATCAAGGCTGGACTATTTACCATGGTAAAAAGTCCAGCCTCTATGGTTGGCAGACACATGGAATACCCTGGAAAAAAATCCATACTTTTGTTCCAATACTCCATGTACATGGAAAAGCATGGAATAAAGTCCATGCTTTTCCATGGAAAACATGGAAAATGTTCCATGCAGCATGGAAAATGTTCCATGTTTTTTCCCTGTTTTTCCAGCCAATTTTTCTCAGCTTCAGGCTGGAAAAGGCTGGAAAATTTTGTTCCAATACTCCAGCCTCTTATTTTCCATGGAAATCCCTGGAAAAGCATGGACTTTTTACACCCGGGATACCATGCAAGTTATCTTCCTACCAAATATGAAATATATCTGTCAATAAATAGGGGCTGTATGAGCAAAAGTTTAAAAATCTATTTTTAGCACTGGTGACCTTGACCTAACTGACCACTAACTAAATCAAATTTTATGTTCCATTCATTTGTAAATGACATATGTCTATAGAATATGGTTAATACACCTGTATAAATGTAAAAATCTATTTTTAACATTGGTGACATTGACCTTGACCCAAATGACCCGTTACTATTCCCAAAGATGGAGACCCCCCTTGGCATGTTTGTATTAACAAGAGCGATCAGTGATCACATGTATTTCCTCATGATGGCCAATTAATGTTGGGACAAGTTTTGTAACAGACAGACCGACAGACAGACATTGCACAAATAGATTTGGTACTGATCATTCAAACCTATAAAGTTTGGATGAAATAATTGCACCAGTAGTTTATGAGGAGTAGTCCGTACAAGCTTTTGTGTATCTGGCAACTAACAGAAAAAAACACGTTTTTATCAAAGGGCCATTACTCTGCTAAAAATCATTCAACCCGAAAATCCGTGCAATATGCGGAAGGACTTGAGCTTCAGATTAATCCTTTAAAGTTTCTTTGAAATTGCATTGGTGGTATAAGAGAAGTAGGCCGGACACACGTTAAAAATAAAAATTATTAAATGGCCATAACTCTGACAAAAAAATCATTGAACTGGAAAATGCTGACAATATGCACAACAAGACTCGGAACTGATCATTCCTGAAAAGTTTGGATGAAATTGCACCAGTAGTTTATGAGGAGTAGTCCGGACAAGCTTTTGTGTATATCTGGCAACACACAGGAAAAAAACACCTTTTTATCAAAGGGCCATAAACTCGGCCAAAAATCATTCAAACGGAAAACCCGTGCAATATGCGCAAGGACTTGAGATACAGATCAATCCTCTAAAGTTTCATTGAATTGCATTAGTGGTATAAGAGAAGTAGTCCGGACAAACTTTAAAAATAAAAATTATAAAAGGGCCATAACTCTGACAAAAAAAAATTGAACGGGGAAAATGTTGACTATATGCAAAATTAGACTTGGTACTGATCATTCCTGTAAAGTTTGGATGAAATTGCACCAGTTGTTTATGCGGAGTAGTCCGGACAGAAGGACAGACAGACAGACGGACATACAGACAACGGAGAAGTGATCCCTATATGTCGCCACTACTCCGTAGAGGCGACACAAAATTGAAAAGACATCAACCAAAAAATAATGTAAGAGCAAAAATTTTTAATTTATTTTGTAAACCAGTGATCTTGACCTAGACTCTAGAGACCACTTACTCAACAAAAAATTAGAGGACCATTAAAGGTATCCGCCTAACAAATATTCAAGATATCATTAAATAAATTTAGCAATTAAGAGAAATTTACGAAAAATCCAACTAGCCAGAATATGCCCAGGGGCATAAAAATATTGATAAATGAAACATTGGTTAGTAGACAATACCTATTTTTTTTTGCTTTTAGATTAAACTGATCCTGAGGGGTGGGTGATAAAGGGGAGGGTAAAGAGCTGTTTGGCAGTAAAAACTTAAAACAGGAGCAATGCATAGCCCTAATCAAATGAAAAAAAGGGCTTAGCCTAGCACTTATCAAGTTGTCTCATAATATAATAAATTCCATAAATATCATGCTACAGAAAATTAAAGAAATGCTTCAGAAAAAAAGATTAAATTAAGTCAAAATCATATTTTGCAGGACAGCAAAAAACTTTCAGAAAATAATTAACAAAATTCAAATGGTGGTCATGGTTAATTATATGACAATGTCTTATTACAGTCACTTTGGTTGCTTGTGCTTCTTGGTTGAATACTGACAGCTATTTATAAATAGAAAAATTGAATGAATGGAAAAAAAAAATTTAAAGTTGAGAAAAATTAGGTACATTTCAAATTTCATTCCTTTTTAGAAATGCATAGAATGATGTTAATGCGAAAATACTGCACTTTCAAAAAGATGTTATAGAAATGTTTATCTTACAGCTCTTCAGGGAGCTCCAAGGAGTAGAAAACAAAATAAAATACCTCAGACAGGCATATGGCACCAATGGCCTCAAAGAGGCCAGAAGGTGCCGTACGGAGAAGGTTGGGCAGCTGTACAAGAACTTTTTCTGTACAGCTGTCCAGGAAGATTCATGGGAGTTGGCCCAGAAGGAGTATCCAGAGGGCTGCAAGCAAGTAGAGAGGATTGCGGGTATTACTATTATGTTATTCAGATTTTACTACTCAAATTTTGAATTGTCAAATAAATTAAATGCAGATTATCATTAACAGATTTTTCATTAAAAAATTCAAATACCTTTCTTTGGTTTAACAAGAACAACAGCCCTGCAGGGGGACAATTTCATTAAAATTAAAAAACAATATTGTACAAGAACCATTTCAACATGGCAATCCCCCACCGAATGTGTTTGCTCATTGGAAGAATGTATATGTAGTAGAGCAGAATAATTACATTTTAAGAGGTCTTTTGGTAATGAAAACTGATGGCTATAGTGATTACAGATTTGAAACCTATGTGAATACTGATGGCTGAAAATAACAAAGGGCAATAACTTAATAATAATGCAGGGTAGGTTATCATTCTTGTGTGCTGCATCCCTCCTCAGTAAAATCGATCCACCTATGAAGTTTCAAGTTGATACCTCAAATACTTTTTGAGAAAAATATTGAATTGAAAAATTAAGTATGAAAAATAACAAATGGCAATAACTCAAAAATTATAAAAGGTAGAGTTATCATTCTTGTGCACTGCACACCTCCTGAGTGAGATCTATGCACCTATGAAGTTTCATAATGATATCTCAAAGGCCTTTTGAGTTATGCTCTGGACAAAAATTAATTTTGAAAAATAAAAAAAGGGCAATAACTATACAATTATGCAGGGTAGAGTTATCGTTCTTGTGCACTGCACTCTTCCTCAATGAGATTCATCCACCTATGAAGTTTTAAGTTGATACCTCAAATACTTTTTGAGATAAGCTCCGGACAAAATAGCATGAAAAATAACAAAGGGCAATAACTCAAAAATTGTACAGGGATGAGTTATCATTCTTGTGCACAGCATTCCTCCTCAATAAAATCTATCCACCTATGACATTTCATGTTGACATCTCAAACACTTTTGAGTTATGCCCCACTCGGGTGAAAAATTAAATATGAAAAATAACAAAGGGCATTAACTCAATAATTATGAAAGGTAGAGTTATCATTCTTGTGCACTGCACACCTCCTGAGTGGGATCTATGCACCTATGAAGTTTCATGTTGATATCTCATAGGCTTTTGGAGTTATGCTCTAGACAAAAATCAATTTTGAAAAATAACAAAGGGCAATAACTCAAAAATTATGCAGGGTAGAGTTATCAGTCTTGTGCACTGCAATCCTCAATGAGGTCTATCCACCTATGAAGTTTCAAGTTGATAACTGAAATACTTTTAGAGATATGCTCCGGACAAAAATGTCGGACGGAAGGTCAGACGGACGGAGACTATTTCTATATCCCACGCCGAAAATTTTCGGCGGGGGATAAAAATAGATGATATAAACGTTTTTAAAAAAATCTTTAAGAAAAACATAAATAGAAAAGTTGTTTTTTTTAATAATAATATATAACTGCACTTGACAACCCTATCTGTGAAAAATTGTCTACCTTACTAGTGAAAATATTGAATCTGGTGTTCACTGAGTGAGACAAATTTCAATTTTACTTACAAAAATAACAAATATTTTCCATATTTTTTTGCGAAAGCATGTTATCAGATCACATTAACTTTATTCTTTTGCAGAAAGTGAGAATGGGAAGATAAGGAAGTATATTCCAACGGAGCTGATAGAGCTGGCAGAGAAATGTAACAATTTCGAGAGTATTGAAGATTGTGTACAAATAAATATTGTAATTGAAAAAAACGGAAAAAAATTTGAAAATTCAAAAATAAAGGAAATAATTTCGAAGTATCAAAAAAAAATTTTAAAGGAGATACAAGAAACAAAGGACCATGAAAATGAACAGTAATAGGTATAAATGTTTTTTTAATATTGTAACATTTGTGCACAGCATATTTAAAAAAAAAAAAAACTAATATCTGTCAGGGCCTGAGTAGTGTTCGTTCCAGATGGAACCGATCTCCCTCGGGTTGGGATTTGAACATTTTGTGTTAATATCAGGGTTGTAAATTTTTAAAATTTTATAAGCATAAATTTATAAAGGTTCTTCTATTAATAGAGGATTAATTTTCATTAAGTGGTATGAAAATAATTTTTTTACAAGTGGCAAAAGCCACAAGTGAAATATGATAATTTTCATACGACAAGATGAAATTAAATCCTGTCTTAATATAAAAAACTTGAATTATGTTATATTATCTCTTTTTTAACCATTTGCACAGGATAAATTTATTTGTTATATTAAATTGATATATCGATATGAGCGGTGTTTATAGGCTATTTACCAGTTTGGAGTTTTGATGCGTATGAATTGACCATGAAGGCCACAACTAAATATTCTGGTTGGTACTACATCTTAAAATATTGGTACTACATCTTAAAATATATACTGTGTGTGCACAAGTGTTACAAATAAAAAAAATATATATACCTATTTTGTTATGCACCTGGCAGTCTGTCTATCTGTCTGTCCTTAATTTCTTTTCTGCTGATTGCTTGAAATGATAACCATTAAAGGGGTGTTTAGAGCATGAAAGACCTTTCATCAAGTCTATGTGAAGTTCAGAATAAGTCAAATATGTATGAATTTCAACTCTTTGGGTCCACTCCTTATCTTAGCCTAAATGAATATTGGTTTGTTTAACTTGTAAAATGGAAATATATTTCACTGAGTGAAGAACAGTTGGATATTTTAATGAGTGGCATATCTGATCTGATGTTCTAGAAAGAATTATATTTAAATCTAACATCAAAAAAACAAACAAATTCTATATTTATTTAATGCATCTTTAGTGATTTTATGTCATATTTAATTGTTTTGTTGCATTCAAATCATGACAACACCATACCAATTTTGAATTTAATTTCGAATTTTTACGTCACTTGTGTAATGATTACTTCACATGTATAAATATAGAATGTCAAACAGTGACTCTATTGCATAATAACACACACTTTAGGTTCTTGTATGTTCAATAGGGAAAAATGCGGGTCGTGTTAGAATTGATAATTTCACA